GAGCAAGTTCTGTCTCCTAGAGATGAACGTACTTTGGTGCGAAAAGTGCAAATCAATTCCAGAACAACAGCAAAGGACCTTGTGAAGATGCTGGAGGAAACAGGTACAAAAGTATCTATATCCACAGTAAAACGAGTCCTATATCAACATAACCTGAAAGGCCGCTCAGCAAGGAAGAAGCCACTGCTCCAAAACCACCATAAAAAAAGCCAGACTACGGTTTGCAACTGCACATGGGGACAAAGATTGTACTTTTTTGAGAAATGTCCTCTGGTCTGATGAAACAAAAATAGAACTGTTTGGCCATAATGACCATCGTTATGTTTGGAGGAAAAAGGGGGATATTGCAAGCCGAAGAACACCATCCCAACCGTGAAGCACGGGGGTGGCAGCATCATGCTGTGGGGGTGCTTTGTTGCAGGAAGGACTGATGCACTTCACAAAATAGATGGCACATGAGGAAGGAAAAGTATGTGGATATATTGAAGCAACATCTCAAGACATCAGTGGACAATGACCCCAAGCATGCTTCCAAATTTGTGGCAAAATGGCTTAAGGACAACAAAGTCAAGGTATTGGAGTGGCCATCACAAAGCTCTGACCTCAATCCTATAGAACATTTGTGGGCAGAACTGAAAAAGCGTGTGCGAGCAAGGAGGCCTACAAACCTGACTCAGTTACACCAGCTCTGTCAGGAGGAATGGGCCAAAATTCACCCAACTTATTGTGGGAAGCTTGTGGAAGGCTACCCGAAACGTTTGACCCAAGTTAAACAATCTAAAGGTAATGCTACCAAATACTAATTGAGTGTATGTAAACTTCTGACCCACTGGGAATGTGATGAAAGAAATAAAAGCTGAAATAAATCATTCTCTCTACTATTATCACTGACATTTCACATTCTTAAAATAAAGTGGTGATCCTAACTGACCTAAGACAGGGAATTTTTACTAGGATTAAATGTGAGGAATTGTGAAAAACGGAGTTTAAATGTATTTGGCTAAGGTGTATGTAAACTTCTGACTTCAACTGTATTTATTCATTCAAGTCTGTGTGGTGGTAAAATATTATCCCTTTAATCAGGAGCAAAGATGCCCTCAGACTGTCAACTGTCATCTCATAACATCCAGCCTCACTGCCTTCTTAATACCCAGCAGAACCTATCATATGTTTAAAGTATACATTCTCAAACACTTTTTAGAAAGTGGGTTGTTAGCGTGGTCTGAAACTGTGGTGTAGCTTTTGGCAGGCTTTTGTTTTTCCTTTTTAAAAAGGAAAACAGCAGTAGATCGGAGCAGCATTCCTCATCTGGTTTCCGTGGTGCATGGTCTATTTCATTTTGATGAGTAACAGTAATGCATATTCTCTTTGTCTCCCCCAAAGCCAGTATCCTTAACCCAGGTAAAACAACAACAAAAAACAATTTTGTAAGCAGTTGTAGCAATAGGCCTATAGTCCCTGGGCTGATCTCTCCATCTAGAGCATTGAATGGCACTTCAGTGCCCATGAGGAAAGCCAGATATCTTACAAAATAAATAATAGTTAATTTTGTGATCATATTTGGAAATTGACAGTATTCAAAGAAATCTGCTCTGCATCCCTTCACCTTTCACCTTCTACTGTCTAACTTACCAAGATGTTGTAATTGAATTCTGAGAATGTTGACTTTATACTTGCTATTTGAGTTGACCTGAGACATTCCATTACGTTTTAAAGACCCCCGCCCTTTCCGCTCAGCTGAAATTGACTGGCTTTTCTTTGTTCACAGAGGAACTATAGGACATGATGTTCAGATGTTGTTATGGGTGGTCTTGCTGTTGGGATTAGAGTTGCTGTTTTTCTCAGTCAGTAGTTTAGCCTTGTTGCTCAACTTGGGCCTCTAGCTGATCGTGAAATGCATAAAACTACATCAGAGAAATTGTTGTATACCCACTTGGACTCGCAAAGATACCACCCACCCCCAACCCCACTGATGGTTCTCAATGTTCATCAGTCCAATATCAACAAACATCAGGAAGCTCGGCACAGCAGCAAGGAGCAAAATAAGGCACTACTTAAAAGCTTCAGAATAATGGACTGCATTTCATTCAAAAACATCTACTATCCTGCTGCATAGTGATTATAATTCTGCCAGCTAGAGCTTCAAAGTGCTGTTTCTAAAGCATCACAGAACTTTATCTTCCTGTTTGGTAGTTTACGCTGTCCACCTCCTGTGGTTCCTCATCTCAGGCCAAATCTCCCTGCAGCACAACTGACCAGGTTTTGATATTCTCGTCAGAGCGTGTGGGTATCAGAAATACCTCTTTCCCCTCTGAGTCTGCGATATCCACCTGCTGCCTCCGGAGTCAATTTGATGCCTGCCACAGACTGCAAAAGTAGCCATTGTGCTTTAGGGTGAGACTATTGAGCTTAGGCCTCAATCTGTAGAAACAGTATATCACAGTGTGTGTTTGTCTGGGTTGGGACTGAGAGTAATCTACACAAATAGCTCCATCTCTTCCCAGCCCAATGAGACCATAGCACCATCTAGCCACCTCTTTGCCACCTCTCTTTTATATACAATTTAGGAGAGGGGTTACCTTTGAAGAAGAGTATCAAACCAGAGTCAACATCAGGCAGTGAAGCTGCAAATGTTGTACCCATGGAAGGAAGCTACAAGGCATTGACATGCACAAAAGCAAAAAGATGGTGGTTTTCTGTCATTACCGTAGTTATCAGCCGTTACATTGCAGAAAGTTGTTTCATTCTTGTTTGGCTTTAATCAGCGAGAGACATTGATATTCTTTGGTTTGTTTTGAAGATGGTGTAATGTTAACAGAATTACTTTCATTTTGTCATTTTCCCAAAGTGTTTTTACTAGCACACTGGCCTACTTAAATTCCTCTGCCCAAGGACATTTACACCAAATGAGAAACAGTAACACAAACAGAGAGATACCCTTTGTCTATTATTTTCCCAGCTTAATTGCTTACTGTGGCATAAACAAATGCACAAGCTCGGACAGCAGACAGGCAAATTAGCTTGTAATTAATTGGAAGGGATAAACATTTAGCTTACAGCGGAACCCCTTATGTCAGACATTTGATTCTGTCAGTCCCTCTGTCCGCAGCTATTTGCAGATGTTATTATCAAACGAGTCTCAATCTCACGCCGGGAGAGTAATCTTCTCTTTGTTCATACACTACATGACAAAGTATGTGGACACCTGCTCATCGAACATCTCATTCCATGGGCATTAATATGGAGTTGGTCCCACCTTTGCTGCTATAACAGCCTCCACTCTCCCGGTAAGGCTTTCCACTAGATGTTGGAGCATTGCTGCGGGGACTTGCTTCCATTCAGCCACGAGCATTAGTGAGGTTGGGCACTGATGTTGGGCGATTAGGCCTGGCTCGCAGTCGGCGTTCTAATTCATCCCAAAGGTGTCCGATGAGGTTGAGGTCAGGGCTCTGTGAAGGCCAGTCAAGTTCTTCCACACCGATCTCGACGAACCATTTCTGTATGGACCTCGCTTTGTGCACGGGGGCATTGTCATGCTGAAACAGGAAAGGACCTTCCCAAAACTGTTGCCACAAAGATGGAAGCTCAGAATCGTCTAGAATGTCATTGTATGCTGTAGCCTAAATATTTCCCTTCACTGGAATAAAAAACTGTCCCAGACCATTATTCCTCCTCCACCAAACTTTACAGTTGGCACGATGCATTGGGGCTGGTAGCGTTCTCCTGGCATCCGCCAAACCCAGATTCTTCCATCGGACTGCCAGATGGTGAAATGTGATTCAATACTCCAGAGAACGCGTTTCCACTGCTCCAGAGTCCAATGGCGGCGAGCTTTACACCACTCCAGCCGACGCTTGCCATTGCGCATGGTGATCTTAGGCTTGTGTGCTCTGCCATGGAAACCCATTTCATGAAGCTCCCGACCAACCGTTCTTGTGCTAACGTTGCTTCCAGAGGCAGTTTCAAAATCAGTAGTGAGTGTTGCAACGATTTTTACGTGCTTAAGCACTCGGCGGTCCCTTTCTGTGAGCTTGTGTGACCTACCACTTCGCGACTGAGCCGTTGTTGCTCCTAGACATTTACACTTCACAATAACAGCACTTACAGTTGACCAGGGCATAAATTTGACAAGCTGACTTGTTGGAAAGGTGGCATCCTATGACGGTGCCACGTTGAAAGTCACTGATCTCTTCAGTAAGGCCATTCTACTGCCAATGTTTGTCTATGGAGATTGCATGGCTCTGTGCTCGATTTTATACACCTGTCAGCAACGGGTGTGGCTGAAATAGCCGAATCCACTAATATGAAGGGGTGTCCACATACTTTTGTATATACAGTGTAACTCTATAGATGAAGCTCAGCTCAGGGATAGAGAACCCCCCCCCCAATCAAAGTATTGATGGTTTTCAAACTTTTGATCCTGGCCACTGACTCTACAGATCACAACTATAGATAGCTGGATAGATTCTAGCCAGATGTTCTCCACAAGGGGACGAGGAGGTTAGATATTGATGCAGTGTTGCACATGTCTCCACATTGACTGATGATGCTACTGATGGCTGTCAGAAACTGACAATGCAATTCATTCACTTTCAACACTTCAACACTTCACATTCAGTTTCCTATATTGCAGTTGAAAATACCATAATGTCAGAGAGATATGCCAAATGGAAGTAGGATCTCTTTTTAAGTCAGTACTGGGGACCGGAGAGCTAAACACAGTGTAAAGGCCTAGTAAGACTGGAGGATTTGCATCAGCTTACTGTTTTTTGTTTTTCTTACTCTAAATCTATTGCTACAATTTACCATTGTTTTGTTTTATTTGGCATTTCAATTTGCCTTGACAAATGCAGCGGCTCCATTAATCAGGAAATAATAGCAAACTGTACAAAGCATTGTTCAGGCGTTAACCCGCAAATGATTTAGAATGACCCTCACAATTAAGCATACATTTAATCAGTCACCAACTTGCTTTCCTCTCTCATTGTGTCCAACGCAGGGCCAAAGAAGACACTGTGTGTTACTATGGAAACAGAGGCAGCGCCGAACCCATCCGTCTAAATCCAGGTCTGTTTTTCTTAATGTGGAATTGCTTGTACTATTATTCTATATCATTGCACCATACAAGCCATGCTGTTGAATTATAAACCTTAATGTATGCAGGATGGATTTTGACTATGAGACCATGCCTCTATGTGAGTGCGTGTTTTGGGGGATAACATGAACGTTTGGAGCAATCTCTATTCTCTAGCAATGCTGTATGTGTCTGCTCCAGCAGGAATCTATGGTTTGAGTAACTCCCTGTTGGAGACCCCATGGAGGAAGCTGCAGCATGGGAAGAGACTGTTTACCAGCGTAGTGAACCAGACACTGCCTTGTGATGGCCTGGTCCATGATCTGCTCAACGTCCTCAACAACGAGGAACTGTGAGTTCACCACACACTCGGTATCAATAATACAATCAATGTGACACTGTAAACGCTTCATCAATAAATGTACCTGCACACTCATGACGCTGCAGACTGTATCAAAACACTTCACATTAACACACATACCTGTACACTGTGTGATGCAGGTTGGCATTTATTGGGATGACTCATGTACTGCAGGCAGCTCTGCAGGGTAGTCACTAGCGGGTACAGCCACAAAGTAATACAATATTATTTTAAACCTAACCCTAACCTTAACTGCACTGCTAACCTTGTGCCTAACCCTAACCTAAAAGTAAGACCAAAAAGCACATTTTTTGTTTTCATGAATTTTTACGATGTATAGCTAATTTTGACTTTGCAGCTGGCCCATCTAGTGGAAATCGCTCTGCTCTGCCTCCAGGACAAGATTCATCCCAATAAACATGAACCTGCCAGTGTGAGAGCCCAAACTCTGTAGTTTTAGTTTACAATTTGACGCAATCAATGTGACACAGCGTAATATACATTAAAACATATACCTGCACAAGGCTCGACATTAATTATTGTCCTCTTGTCCGGGGCAAGTAAAAAACATTGATGGACAAGAATATATATTGGAGTTGTCCAAATGGACAAGTAAAAAAATCACACAAAAATTACAATATCAAACAATCAGATCAGAATTGGATCAGAAGCCAACATTGGAATGTATGTACATGAATAAAAAAGCCTACATGTCAATGTGTGTGCTGACATGAGGGTGGCGCCAGAAAATGGAGCCCAACTTCAATGAGACTTTTAATTACATAAATATAGGCTAAACACCCGTCATGTTTGACATATATAATGAAGGATAATTAACATTAACGTCTAAAGGCTTGATTCTGTTGTAATAATCGAGGCCAGATTCGAATCTGAGCGGAGGCGGTCAGCATTTTGAAACTATTTAACCATGAACATAATTGTTTAAAACCTGGACGTCTTATGTCATTTTATGAAGCATGTCTTACCTTGTTTCAAAGTAGCCTAGCCAAAATACCACCATAGAAATCACTATTGCTCGTAAGGTATTTGAGAGTAACAAACAAGGACATCTAAATGTCTAAATATGCTCACTCATTATGGGGTGGCGAGTACCACACGTGGACATTCAACATGGCTACGTGGGGTACAAACGTGAACACTCAATATGACTTTGAGAAAGTATAGTCCTTCACACATTAAATGAATGTGCAGTTAGGAAAAAGAAGTACACTGCTGTTGCTGGAGTCCTGCGCTTTTATGTCAACTTAATTGCAAAGCTTTTAGTCGGTGAACTTTTGCTCTTCAGACGCCGCCTACCTTTCTCTCTAATAGGTTTGCCAGCTTCACAATGTACATCATGTTGTTCTGAAACTTACTGTATGTCGTATTATATAACTCCTCGTTTTGAAACTTTCAGTTCAGTAATAACTTTCTATTCAGTATACAGTATTTTTTCCCCCAATGCACCTGGTAACACTAAAGTTGTGCTAAAGAGTTTTACTTTTTCAGTTGGTTCCAATCCAAAAGGAGGTTTGAGTGAGAAGTTGAGAACAGTGTCTTTTCTATAGGTACAGTGCATTCGGAAAGTATTCAGACCCCTTCCCTTTTTCCACATTTTGTTACATTACAGCCTTATTCTAAAATGTATTAAATATTTTTTTCTCTCATCAATCTACACACAATACCCCATAATGACAAGGCGAAAACCCGTTTTTAGTGTTTGCATGCTTATTAAAAATGAAAAACAGATACCTTATTTACATAAGTATTCAGACCCTTTTCTATGAGATTCGAAATTTAGCTCAGTTGCGTTCTGTTTCCATTGATCATCCTTGATGTTTCTACAACTTGGAGTCCACCTGTGGTAAATTCAATTGATTGGACATGATTTGGAAAGGCACACACCCGTCTATATAAGGTCCCACAGTTGACAGTGCATGTCAGACCAAAAACCAAGCCATGAAGTCGAAGGAATTGTCCGTAGAGCTCCGAGACAGGATTGTGTCGAGGCACAGATCTGGGGAAGGGTATCAAAAAATGTCTGCAGTATTGAAGGTCCCCAAGAACACAGTGGCCTCCATCATTCTTAAATGAAAGAAGTTTGGAACCACCAAGATGCTTCCTAGAGCTGGATGCCAGGCCAAACTGAGCAATCAGAGGAGAAGGGCTTTGGTCAGGGAGGTGACCAAGAACCTGATGATCACTCTGACAGAGCTCCAGAGTTCCTCAGTAGAGATGGGAGAACTTTCCAGAAGGACAACCATCTCTGCAGCACTCCACCAATCAGGCCTTTATGGTAGAGTGGCTAGTGGCCACTCCTTAGTAAAAGGCACATGACAGCCTGATTTGGAGTTTGCCAAAAGGCACCTAAAGGACTCTGACCATGAGAAACAAGATTCTTTGGTCTGATAAAACCAATATTGAACTCTTTGGCCTGAAACCCAAGCATCACATCTGGAGGAAACCTGGCACCATCCCTATGGTGAAGCATGGTGGTGGCAGCATCATGCTGTGAGGATGTTTTTCAGCGGCAGGGACTGGGAGACTAGTCAGAATCGAGGGAAACATGAACGGTGCAAAGTACAGAGAGATCCTTGATGAAAACCTGCTCCAGAGCGCTCAGGACCTCAGACTGGGGCAAAGGTTCACCTTCCAACAGGACAACGACCCTAAGCACACAGCCAAGACAACACAGGAGTGGCTTCAGGACTCCTCTGAATGTCCTTGAGTGGCCCAGCCAGAGCCCGGACTTGAACCCGATCGAACATATCTGGAGAGACCTGAAAATAGCTGTGCAGCGACACTCCCCATCCCACCTGACAGAGCTTGAGAGGATTTGCAGAGAAGAATGGGAGAAACTCCCCAAATATAAGTGTGCCAAGCTTGTAGCATCATACCCAAGAAGACTCGAGGCTGTAATCACTGCCAAAGGAGCTTCAACAAAGTACTGAGTAAATGGTCTGAATACTTATGCTTTCTCATTATGGGACATTGTGTGTGTAGATTGGGGGGGCTGTAACGTATAAGGCTGTAACGTAACAAAATGTGGAAAAAGTCAAGGTGTCTGAATACTTTCAGAATATACTTTACATCCCTGACTCTTTCTGTTCCAAAACTCAAAGTCAAAGAGAAGGTTTGAGTGAGAACGGTTTCTTTCTCTTTTCTTCAGGAACACCCCTGACCCGGCCCAAGAGAGCCAGGGTGAAGGGTACAGCAGCCCCATGCTCCGGGCCCTGTCCTCTGTGTGTGTTCGCTCCCCACATTACGGCACAAGGTCAGAGTCCTCCCAGTCCCTGACACCAATTAGCTAGGCCAGAGTCATAGAGATACATTATAATACAAGAGTGGCCTATGTGATAAACCTTGCCAATATCCAACCTAGTGTTGTTATTTAATTCTGTGGTCAGAGTCCCATTCTGTGCTCCTAGTCCCACCAATTAGCTCTCCCATTTGTCATGCGGGCCCGCCCTCAGAGGTGAGAGCGGGGTCATATTCATAGGGTACACGGGAACATGAAAACAATTGGTTCTTATTTGGCACAAATCCATGGTCATATTCATTGGTGCACACCTTAGCAAACAGGAAACGTTTTGTGAACGAAAACAAGTTTCTTATTGGACAAATCCAGGTAGTACGTCTCTGTTTGTCCATTTAGCTGTGTTTAGTGCATAATGAATACGCCCCATACATCATACAGCCCCTTGTGCATATAATATAATCTAGAACCAGCCTGCCCCCTGGCCTCCAGTCTAGTGTGATAATGAAAGGTGATTGGGGAACTCCAGAATCACAACGTTTTCCCCATATTTGAAATGCACAAGCCTCTCGTTTCACCCCTCCTATTATTTCTTATGTTTTGTGTCTGCCTGTTTCAGGACCAATACCATTATCCTTATAGACGCATCAGGGAACGTGACCTTCACGGAGCGCACCATGCTCAACTGTGACGTCAGCCAATGGAGCACAAGCTCTTTCCAGTTCAAAATCCAGGACTGAAGACGGCTAAATGGGGCTATATGGGAATCACACTCTGTGCCTTTCTGCATCCCACCTCCTCCTCCCTCTCCCTCCTTCTCCCACAGCAAGCTCTGGCTTCACAGTAGTGAAATGAACATGAAGATTTATTTGCCATTTAAAATGGTGGAGGTGGGCGAGTGAAATTATGGCACTTTTTTGGGAAAGAGAGATTGATTGTACTTTTCAAGTAATTGTCTTTGGGAAATACGTTTTAGCTTGGCTTAGACATACGACAGTGTGAATTGATCAAATCATACATAATGGGTGCTATTCTTATTTTGTTAATTTGATTAAAATATTATTTTGAGTTGTTTGCTTAAAGTTTATTGCCAAAGAACAAATGTAATTTAATAAACAAAGTAAATTATTTACATTTAACATTGCATCTATTTTCTCAGCACTGGTTTGCTGAGGAAGAACAGAACTAAAAGGTTGATCATAAGTCATTTATGGCTTTGTGGCTCAGACTGCCTTCTACTAGCCAAGTTTGTTTGTATCTTCAGTTGAAGTGTAAAACGCTAACACTCATAGAAGCAGCAGCAGCCATCAACATCCTTATAAAATGCTGTCATAAGAATGACCGGTTTGGTTTCCTAAACTCTCATGCAGGTGTTTAACTTTCCTGTGACAGAATTAGGAAGGCATATTGTGACAGCCTGCCTTGTAGTATAATCGTTATCATTGCCACAGATTTGGACTTTGTGACCGAGGTTTGTTAGTTAAAAGTAAAACAGAGGAAATCACTTGAAATGTTTTTCTAAATGGTAAGCAAAGTGTTTTCTTTGATATCTTCCCGCCTTGTTCCACATACTGCTTAGGAGGGACTGTTTGCCTTGCTGTGAACTAACTAAAAGGATTCCTTTTGTCACTCACATCTGTAGTGTTCAGTCTGTGGTTCTTACCCACTTACTCTCCATCGTAACTCTCACAAATGTGAATGACTGTTTCAATTTGTGTTGATGATATGTACCAATGATGAGGATCCTTCAGTGGTTTTCTAGGGTTTATGTTACTGACCTCCGGTATCCATAGAAGTACAGAAACCCCTGTTTACCACGTCACTGGTGTCTTGATATAAATTGTGAATAAAGTACTTTTTCATGTATTTTGGAAATTTATATAGACCCCTTTCTGTGTTTGCAGAACACAGGGGAGTTCTTAATAGAACTCCAGCAACAACAAAAAAACTAGTTGCATATGCGTGCATTTCACACTACTTTTGGATTATCATTGGATTTTAAGGATTTTATGAATGTCCTGCTTAATATAATGTTGGTGTCATCATCGCAAATCAACTGCATTATACTTCAACCAGTAAAATGGCTCTTTGGCTAGCTTTTTGCTACAGCCTATGTCAATGAGCGTTAGCATTCTAGCTAACAACTGCTGCATCCAAAATAGTTATTTTGCAAAGATCACAACCAAATATAATTTTAGCGACTGTTAAATCAAGAATCAAAACATCATTGTAAGCGTATGAGAACCCAAAAAGTTATTTTGTTTAGAAGTAATAAAAACGTAAATCTTGGCTATGTTGAATTGGCGCAGATGGCGATGTCTTTCTTACTGCCGCCAAGAGTCGTGACGTCAGTGTGTCTTGCAAATGTATACTATTCTTTAAAGAATAGATCTGATCAGGCAATTTTATTAGACAATCACAAGCTTATTAACGCAATGTGGTGTATGGTTTGTAGCTGAATAAACTGTGGTCATTGCAATGGTTGTCACAGTTTCTATGTTTAAATATTGATTCTGATATAATTCGCAGAAACTTTTGAATCTTCAGTAAACACGATGGTATGTCTGAGAGTTGGTCAGAGGCTTTATGCAGATTATAAACAGCAGGGTTCTAATCTTATCAGTGGATAGATTATGCATCAAAACAAATATCAAATTGTATACAATGTTTCATATATTATGATATATCTTATTTTACTGACCGCTACTTTGCATACAATGTTTCTGGTGAAGACAATGGGTGGAGATGATTGCCACCTAGCGACAGTATGTGGTCACTGCACTTCGCAACCCCAATTGTGCCTACCGTTCTCATTGGTCAACTGTGATCTATTCTAATGTTTGATTGGTCGATTTATTCCCGCAGTGAGGCAAGGCCTGCCTTTGTCGGTTGATGATTAGTGTGCTCACTTTGAATTAAATGGTGATTGGACTCGTCACCGGTCAATCTTCAAAAAGCCGGTATTGGGGGTGGAGTTTCAGAAGAAGTCTGCAGCTGTCTGCAAGATGGCGGAACGGGGAAGGGATCTGTCTGGCCTCGTCAAAAGAATAAAATAATTTAGATTAGCTAGCTTAGGGAAGAAAATGGAGTAAATAAAATATAGGTGAGTGATCAAATGTGCTCGTTGTTTCTGTGTTTAGCCCAGTCATTTCGACACCTAATTGTGTAGCTTAAAAACCGCTTAGCTTCAAGTTTGAGCTAAGCTAGCCAGGTTGCTAAAGTTAGCTTGGCTAGTGCGTAGAAGGACAATACAAATTGATGGTCGTCTTTTGAAATCGTTCAGTTTTGAAGGTGCCCCATATTGCTAACCAGTAGCAAAAGTTTTTGCATTAGTTGACTTTGTAGGGTGAATCCAGTTTTCCAAATATCTTACACAGACAGCGAGCTATCGTTAGCATTCTGCAATCAAGCAAGGATTTATCTGGCAGTGCTTGGCCTGTGGTTTTGGCATTAGTAAGCCATCATAAAAATACTGCATAATGTGCATAGATGCCTTGGCTACATGTTTTTGCACTGCAATGTTGCTGTCTTGGCTTCAATTATTGACTAACTTGTGTCCCTCTTTTTCTAGCTCTGACGGAGGATTCGCCAGTGGAGGATTCGCAGTGCCTAGATCCGAGTAATATAAGCTGAATGCATTGTGATTTCCAATAATTTAGACAGTGATTCTAAAAAGCTGTCTACATTAATGAAAAGAACAATGTAGTCAGCTTAGCATATTCAACACTGGTACATGGTCAACACAGGGAAGTTGTTTCGTTCGAAATCTTGTGTACAATGTGCTTCTGCATGCATTTTAGCTAAAAGCTTATGAGAACAGGTTGCCAAAACAGAGTCAGGGTGACCCATAGATAATTTGTTATATTTAGGGATTCATAAGACAGTCAACATGGAGATAGATGATATATTACCCCCCTTGCCGTTGGAGCCACCTGATGATTTAAACTCGGAGGGCCTTAATGGTAAAGCGCAGCCTCCACCACCTCCCCTGCAAACGTCCAGTGACGCAGAGGAAATGGACGTTAGCTCTGGTGGTGATGGACACACACACACCCCAGCAGGGGACCAGGGCCTGGGGCTCCTCGCCAAGGGCTCCATAACCTTAAGTAATAACCTGTCAGATGAGGCCGAATCCAGCGCACCGTGCCCTAGAACAGCCCGCCACGCGCCCCCCATCACCAAGTTCCTGCCAGAGCTCAAGTTACTACAAGACATTAAGATCAGTGTCAGCGTCGTAGATAGCAGCAGGAGCAAAGATAGGAAGGTGCTGTACACAGGGATAGGTCAGGGTGGTGGTGTAGGGGAGACCAGCTCAGAGGGCCTTAATGGTGAGTTGCATGATGCCGATACAGAGCTAGAGGCTGTTGAGGGTAGCTCAGGGCTGGGGAACGGGACGGTCGATGGTAGTGCAGGGAGGAGAGGGGCGGAGGCAGACCTGGAGAACAAAGTGGAGTTTGCGGTGTTGGACGAGCTGGAGGACTTCAGTCAGGACTTCCTGCATACGGAGAATGTGGAGCAGGGGGGTTTCAGGTCTGAGGAAATGGTTCAACAGGAGAACGCTGACGAGGAGAACCTGAATTACTCATATGAGGTACGTAACCAAGGGGCCCCATCTTTGCCTCTGCAGAGCCTCATCATCATCATCATCCACTCACTAATCTTTTGTGCCTTGTTCACACTGTAGGGTCTAACCCGAAACCGTAATGGCTTGGATATTCTTTTCACATCGTCATTTCCAGCACAGTTCCAGCAACTATGGAGGATGCATAACCATTTTTGGGGGTCAGATACAGATAACGATTTTTTGGGGTACCAAACTTACCAATACTGAAATATTAAAACATACTGTTTTACGCCGGGGAAATGAAAAAGAAAAAAAATTCCATACTGCATTCTCATAAATTGCCATCCAAAACAGCAATTGTCCAAGAAATATGCTTAAAATGTTCATTTCTTACATTGTGAAATGAATGACACATCATGAGAATGGCTGCCAGTGTTCAGATAAGCATAAAATTCCCTTTTTCATCCTATTTATTGGTGGAATTGTCGTCCAATATAGCGGTAAAAAGCCAATATCAACCGATTTTATATCGGTGGACCGATATATCGGACAGGCTCTAGTAATGATGTTAGCCCAGTACGGTTTGGCTCTGTAATGTGAAAAGGGTAATAGTGTATAGTCATTTTATTCCAATGTCACCAGCAAAATGTCAGCTTTTACATTTTAGTCATTTAGCAGATGCTCTTATCCAGAGCGACTTACAGTTAATGAGTGCATACATTTTTATACTGCCCCCCCGTGGGAATCGAACCCACAACCCTGGCGTTGCAAACGCCATGCTCTACCAACTGTGCTACACGGGGGGCTTTTGCATCATACTTTTGATTCTTGATGGAAATCCTCTCTTTTCTACTTGAGATTGATATAGTTGGTATGCTTGGTGTCTTCAAAAGTTGAACCTGATTTGAATCTCCCCTCATCCACTTTGTTTCCAACGCTTTTATGTTTGTTATGCATGCCAGATATTGGTTGCAAATATGACTTGAAATTCTCTCATGACAAGATGGCATAGCCCAAACTGAATGGAAAACATGACAGGTTAGGGCTGCCCCCACCCCTCCCTTCTCCCCCATGCGCTCAACGACAGTCTTTTCCAGGAGGACTTCGACAATGATGTAGACGCTCTGCTGGAGGAGGGCATGCCCATGCCCAAAAAGATGCGCCTGGCAGAGGGGGCTGCTGAGTATGCAGGGGACAGTGACCATGCGTCGGACGGGGAGGGAGGCGTTCAGCCCATGATGACCAAAATTAAAACAGTCCTGAAGAGTGAGTGGTGGATGTCTGGCGCTGATCTGCCTTTGGTAACGGTGTATCTAAGGCTGGCACATAATGATGTTATGCATTCATATCATACCTTATGAATGCATATCATCACGTTTGTGAGAGGACACTGATCAAATCACATTTTATTTGCCACGTGCCGAATACAACCGGTGTAGACCTTAAAGTGAAATGCTTACTTACAAGCCCTTAACTAACAATGCAGTTTTAAGAAAAATAAGTGTGTGAGATGTGTAGTCATGTCTGTCTACAGACGTGTAGTCGTGTGTGTGTGTGGTGCAGATGTGTAGTGTCTCGTGTTTGCTTGCGGATGTGTAGTGATGAGTGAGTGTGTGTGTTTCCCAGGTCGTGGGCGTCCACCCACTGAGCCACTACCTGATGGATGGATCATGACATTCCATAACTCTGGCATTCCAGTCTACCTGCACAGAGAGACCAGAGTGGTGACCTGGTCCAGACCTTACTTCCTGGGGACCGGGAGCATCAGGGTAAGACGTGGAAGAGATAAGACAGATGGAAACTGCTGTACATTTGAATCTTTTAGAGGGTTAGTAACATGTCAGGAACCCCATTGTTATACACTGAATACTGGTGTTATATTTCAGTTTTTGGTAGGAATGATCAAACTAAAGGAATAAGGATGAATGTCCATTATTTCTCTATTCTCAAACAACTGTAACAACCTACTTCTAACCAAACCCCTCGTGCCCCTGTGTACAGAAACACGACCCTCCCACCAGTAGCATCCCCTGCCTGCACTATAGGAAGATGAAGGATCATGAGGAAAAGCAACAGAACGGAGAGGTGACGCCCAACGCTGAGGTGTCTCCGGTGAAGCCTGGGGAAGAGGCAGACTCCCTGGAGAGACCAGACGAGCCTGACTCCACGGCCCAGGAGGACCCTACCACTGTGGCCCTGGGTCTGAGCCTGGGGGAGGGAGAGGCGGAGTTGGAGACAGGACTGGTCACAGAGGGGACCATGGAGAGGTGCCCAGTCCCGCACGGCAAGATGCCCCACTCCTGTGAAATGGCCCAGGGGGCACTGGGACAGTTCAGGGCCAAGGTGGAGGTGTGCAAAGATGAATCCATAGGTAAGGGTCAACACACTCCATGATGAGCGGTTGTCTTGCCAGCAGGTAGAAGTTTTGAATGCCATGGCTGATGGCTAGTATGTTTAATTTCTTGTGAACGTAGGGGATACAAATATGTTGGTGGGTATTTCATAAGAACACCTATCTGCGTGAAGTTAGTTTGGCTTCTAAAGCAACAATCTAACCGATACCCCTCCCTTATTGAAACCCCGCCAGAAATTGAGGAGTTCCGCAGCTACCTGGAGAAGTGCTTTGACTTTGAACAAGTGACAGTGAAGAAGTTCCGTACCTGGGCAGAGCGCAGGCAGTTTAACAGGGACATGAAGAGGAAGCAGGCCGAGTCCGAGAGACCCATTCTGCCTGCCAACCAGAAACTTATCACTCTGTCTGTATCAGATACCCCCACCAAGAAAGGTAATAGATGCAGAAGAAGAACCATAGGTTACATCTGAATTGGCACCCTATTCACAAAAGTAGTACACTATTTAGGGAATAGGGTGCCATTTTGGATGCGTACATAGTCTAATAACTATTTCAGTGAGGAGTATTGAGCTAATCGCATCAACTCTTTCCCTCTTTCTTTTTCTCAGAGTTTGTCATTAACCCAAATGGGAAATCTGAAGTTTGCATCCTACATGAATATATGCAACGTGTCCTAAAGGTCCGACCTGTTTACAACTTTTTTGAATGTGGTAAGTCCCTCTTTTTAATTGATTGATTTTTCTCTCTCTTTTCTCCCCTTCATAATGTTGATTTCAACTAGCTTGTCCAAGTGACATGTTTTTCTTAAAACCAAACAAATCACCAAAGCACTGACTGGAGAAAAGGCCTTTATGCAGTTTACACCAAATGAATCCTCGTTTTCCATCTCCTCCAGAGAACCCAAGTGAACCCTTTGGCGCCTCAGTCATTATAGACGGTGTGACATATGGCACAGGAACTGCAAGCAGTAAAAAACTTGCCAAGAATAAAGCTGGTACAGTACTTTCATATTCTGTCATTATTTGATTTTCTATCCTCTGAAGCAGCTGCAACGGTTGTCTGTAAACTATAAAAAAATTAAAATCATAAACAGGTACTTTCGCTTGTAATTTACTGATGCGTCTACCTTGTAGCTCGCGCCACACTGGAGATCCTCATCCCTGACTTTGTGAAGCAGACGTCTGAGGAGAAGCTGATAGAAGGGGATGAACTGGAGGTATCAGCCTGCCAATCATTGGAAAGGCCCTTTAATTAAATCAATGTTTTGTCTTGTTTGGTCTGATAACATGTCTCTGTTATAACATTGTACTTTACTAGCTGGTTGGTAATTTGGAAGAATACTAATGTCCATTCATGTTTTTGTTTCCTGCAGTATTTTAATCATATCAGTATTGAAGATTCAAGGGTGTACGAACTAACCAATAAAGCAGGCTTACTCTCGCCATATCAGATTCTACACGAGTGCCTTAAGAGGTAAGACTCAAGACATGAGGTGTAAGAATAATTGAAATTTCTAGTTCTGATCTGATTAATCTATTAACCTTACATTTCAACCGTCTCTTGTGCTATGTAGAAACCATGGAATGGGTGACACCAGCATCAAGTTTGAGGTGATCCCAGGGAAGAACCAGAAGAGTGAATATGTGATGACGTGTGGCAAGCACACTGTGCGTGGATGGTGTAAGTTACCCCCACACTGACCCTCCAGTCACCACAGCAAGTCCCACACCTAACCTGCTCCATGCCGCTCTGTGGTAATGTAGTGTAAAAGCAGCATTACTAATTGCAAGTGCTCTGTGTGTTTTGTCAGAGCCATATATAGAGAATTCTGACAACTTTTACACTGGACACCATGTTTCCGCTTTTGTATATACACTATATATGGATCAGCATATCCCTGCTCTAAGCTGATCTGTGTTCATGTAGTGTAAATCTAGTTAGCATTACTAATGGCAGCTGCTCTATGTATATGTCTTGTTTTCCAGGCAAGAATAAGCGGGTGGGGAAGCAGCTGGCGTCGCAGAAGATCCTACAGATGCTGCACCCCCACGTGAAGAACTGGGGGTCACTGCTCCGCATGTACGGCAAAGAGAGCAGTAAGATGGTGAAGAAGGTAGGTACTACCTGTACACCTCCATATACTGTTCCTCAGCACAGCTGCTCCACTGCTGTTGGAGGTCTTAAGTCAGGGTGGCATATGCTGCTTCTCTTTCAACCAGATGTGCGTATCTCTCATTTCTATAAATGATGGCGTTTTTTGTGTTTTCCGCAGGAAAATTCAGATAAGAGTGTGATTGAACTTCAGCAGTATGCCAAAAAGAACAGGCCAAATCTTCACATCCTGAACAAACTGCAAGAGGAGATGAAGAAACTGGCTAAGGATAGGGTAAGTGTTACCTGTAGAGTATAGGAGGAGCTCCAATTAGATCCTGGGTCTCTGGTGTAACCTTTGCATTTGGCCTTATCAGGGATTTTCTTACTGGAGAGTTATACATCTGTCTGATAACCCTGTCAGGCTACCTAAGCTGCTCTTACTCCATTGTTGGACATAGAGGTACCTAGACAGGGAGATCTCCCCCGCTTTCTGACACACCTGCAATTCTTCTGGTCTTTGCTCCATTTGCCATATATCTGCACTGTCGTGTTACTCATATTTCCTATGGTTGCTCCAGCCTTACCTTATTTCAGACACTGTCATAAATCAGGTTTGTATGCAAGTGTGGCCTGGATAATGATCTTGAAGGATGTTTTAATGTAAGTTGCTCACATTTCGGTGCAGCAGTTCAAACTGTTATGACAATTTCTGGGGTGTATTCATTAGGCACCAAATGGAAGAGAACTGACAAACGGAAGGACTACCTGAATTTGTCCAATTCGAAATAGACTTAACAAAAATATAAACACAACATGTAAAGTGTTGGTCCCATGTTTCATGAGCTTAAATAAAAGATCCCTGAAATGTTCAATACGCACAAAGCTTTTTTTCTCTCAATTTGTGCACAAATTTAACATCCCTTTTAGTGAGCATTTACACTTTGCCAAGATAATCCATCCACGGTTTGGCATTTCAAGGAGCAGATTAACCTGCCTGATCATTACACAGGTGCACCTTGTGCTGGGGACAATAAGGCCACTCTAAAATGTGCAGTTTTGTCACACAACCACTGATGCAATTGGCATGCTGACTCCAGGAATGTCCACCAGAGCTGTTGCCAAAGCTTCTCTACCATAAGCTGCCTCCAACGCCGTTTTAGAGAATTTGGCAGTACGTCCAACCGGCCTCACAACTGCAGACCACATGTAACCACGCCAGCCCAGGACCTCCACATCCGGCTTCTTCACCTGTGGGATTGTCTGAGACCAGCCACCTGGACAGCTGATGAAACTGGGTCTGCACAACAGTCTCAGGAAAGCTCATCTGCGTGCTCGTTGTCCTCACCAGTGTCTTGACCTGACTGCAGTTCGACGCCATAACTGACTTCAATGGGCAAATGCTCACCTTCTATGGCCACTGGCACGCTGGAGATAAATCCTGTTTCAACTGTACCGGGCAGATGGCAGACCGCTTGTATTGGGTCGTGGGTGAGGGGTTTGCTGATGTCAATGTTGTGAACAGAGTGCCCCATGGTGGAGTTATGGTATGGACTGGCATAAGCTACGGACAATGAACACAATTGCATTTTATCAATGGCAGTTTGAATGCATAGAGCTACTGTGACGAGATCCTGAGGCCCATTGTCGAGCCATTTGTCTGCCATCGCCTCATGTTTCAGCGTGGTAATGCACAGCCCCATGTCGCAAGGATCTGTACACAATTCCTGAAGCTGAAAATGTCCCAGTTCTTCCATGGCCTGCATACTCACCAGACATTGAGCATGTTTGGTATGCTCTGGATTGACATGTACAACAGCGTGTTCCAGTTCCTGCCAATATCCAGCAACTTTGCACAGGCATTGAAGAGGAGTGGGACAACATTCCACAGTCCTCAATCAACAGCCTGATCAACTCTATGCGAAGGAGAAGTGTTGCGCTGCATGAGGCAAATGGTAGTCACACCATAGATTAGGAACTAATTTATTTATTTCAATTGACAGATTTTTCTTACAGTATATAAACTGTAACTCAGTAAAATCTTTGAAATTGGTGCGTATATATTTTAAGTGTAATTGTTTTTTTTTTCTGGTGCAAAACATTTTGTTATGGTGTGCCCTAATAAATACGACCCTGATGTCTTTGTTGTGCTTCAGGCAGAAACCAGGAAGAAGCCCAAGATGACCATAATGGAGTCGGCCCAGCCTGGCAGTCAGCCGCTCTGTACTGTTGACGTCTAGGAACTATCACTGCAACCAACCTAACATGGCACTGACCAATGGTAGCCATAGTCACTGTCAGATAAACCACGCCACCAATCTATCATCCAATTATGCATCATTGTGAAATGGCAATACAGCACATTTATACTATAAAGGTGGTCATCTTAGCACTATTTCTCCAAGCTGTTTATTATTTGACCCCCAAGGTGTTTTTGGTTCATTGTTAGTGGATCAGGTAAGAATAGGACAGATGCACTAACAGTCAGACAGACAGTCGAGTGAGAACCATCTACCTCTAGATGCGATCTCTACGCAGCAGCGCTTCTATACATTGAACCACAGGGGTTGCAGACAGACAGGTTGAGATGACTTGACATGTATCTATGAACCACAGCAATTTCTGTCAGCCTGTTTACTGTGTAGTAATGACTGCTGAAAACCACTAGACCCCCCCCCCCCCCCCCCCCCCCCTTCTTTTATATTGCGATGATTGAATTTCTAATACACTCCATACTTTTCGGACACACTGAACATTTCGAACAGGTTTCCTTGTATGCTTAAAGCATAGCCTATTCAAAGGGATAAGTTTGAGGTCTCTGCTTTTGCTATTCCGGTACGTTGTGGAAAACCAATTTATATGCTGTTGTAATTTGGATGTTTGATGGTTGATGTGTATAATTTGGAGGGTGATTAGGGTTTTTGATGAGTATGCTTCGTCTAAAGAATGGCAAGCTTACGTTTTCATTTGCACGTGAAACATTTACCTGTTAAGGAGAGAAAAAAAGTTATATTTTCAAATGCACAATTCAAGTGAGTGAGTCATACTTCTTGTTACATGCTCATGTTCTTAGTACGAGAAATGCATTTTGAATTTATTATGTAATGGACGATTTTTCGAGACCTATTAAGAGGGACTAATGATTTAAATTGCCTTTTTTGTTCTGGATATACAGGATGAAACATATCAATGGACAGCTGATAAGGCTGGTCTGTCAAGCTAAGATCCTGTTTTCACGTTAGCACTGCAGACAACACAAGCACAAGAGCTTGAAGTACTGTAGTCATTGAGGAGATATACAAGGTAAAGTTGTTACATATTTAAAAAGGCCTATACTTTTTGACTTTTGTTTCTGTAATTAGGTGTTAGCTGCTTCATTCTTTTTTAGACACAAATTAAAGCAAAACCATACAACATGCAGACTCTTACTATTCAGCCATTCATTTAAGGACCCATATACAGATGGGGAAACAATTGGCTACATGTTGCCTTAGTTGACCCATTTCATGAAGGGCTCCCACTCCAGAGAACTCACAGGGCCCAAGTCCCCCTTCAAGGGAAATGGATTGACCACGCCCCTCTTGATACAGCATTTGTTTAGCCAGTTAAGATGTGTAATAACACGACAAGACATTAATATTGATGTTCTGGAAGAATTGCCTTTAGCATGTGCAGATTTTAATTAAGAATTGTCTTAATGGGTTGTTCGTCTGTAACGTGTGTTTGTTTGCCATCATTGTGACCGATTTGTGTGTGTGTTCTGATCAATCACGTTTTCAAGCATTGTGTAGAATCACTGCGATCCTTTCCGCAAAAGGCAATCTATGGAAATGAAGTTGGCACACTTTACCTCAAACAAAATACTTACATGTCATTATTATTAAATCCGATAGCTAAAGAAGCAGTGTGAACCAAAGCTTAAATACAGTCTTATGCATTTTTATAGAATACTGTAGGTTGCTGCATACAATACATAAGTAAATAATATCTATATATACAGGAAAGGATAAAGATGCAATACCTGCTGGAACAAAATATAAATTGCTGCGCATTCATTGTGTGAAGTATTTGGTTTGTGTGCGCTTTTCCTGAATGTTTACTGCATCTGTTCAGACTTCACCATTGTACATGGGCACAAGGCTGTTGTATTGAATGCTCCCCCCCCCCCCCCTTATATTTGCGTGTTCTGTCTTGCCTAGTGTGTGAAGAAAATGCTTTTTATACTTGTTACCTTTTAGAGTTGTAACAAGTTGATTGCTAGAAATATTTCTGCCTAGAAATTGAAGTATGTAACAGCGACTTGGGAACGCTGACTTTCAGTGAAATTTGTTTATGCAAATAAAATTGTCATGACTTAGGCTGGCTCCTGCTTTGAAATTACCCCTGCCTGTATTAATGTGTCCAAATTAACCAGGGCTTGTTTTAGGTGGATCTTTTTATTTTGTAATTCATAAAACATGCATCAAGATGACAACCAAGGAGATATTAAACTGAAATGCGGTTTAATCCTGCCCCAAATAGTACTTTAAGATATCTACAGAGAAACCACATTAATTAAATGAAAAGCTGAAATGTCTTGAGTCTAACTATTCAACCTCTTTGTTATGGCAAGCCTAAATACGTTCAGGAATAAAAATGTGCTTAACTCACATAGTAAGTTGCATGGACTCACTCTGTGTGCAATAATAGTGTTTAACATGATTTTGAATGACTACCTCATCTCTGTACCCCACACAAACAATTATCTATAAGGTCCCTCAGTGGAGCAGTGAATTTCAAACAGATTCAACCACAAAGACCAGGGAGGTTTTCCAATGCCTCGCAAAGAAGGGCACCTATTGTTAGATGGGTATACATTTTTTTTTTTAAGTATACATTGAACATCCCTTAGCATGGTGAAGTTATTAATTACACTTTGGATGGTGTATCAATACGCCTAGTCACTACAAAGATACAGGCGTCCTTCGTAACTCAGTTGCCGGAGATTAAGGAACCCGCTCGGATTTCACCATGAGGCCAATGCAGTGTTTAAATGTATTTGGCTAAGGTGTATGTAAACTTCCGACTTCACAGTTGAAGTCGGACGTTTACATACACCTTGGCCAAATACATTTAAACACTGCATTGGCCTCATGGTGAAATCTGAGCGGGTTCCTTAATCTCCGGCAACTGAGTTAAGTTATTTTTTTTTTTTTATCACATTCCCAGCGGGTCAGAAATTAGTATTTGGTAGCATTGCCTTTAAATTGTTTAACTTGGGTCAAATGTTTCGGGTAACCTTCCACAAGCTTCCCACAATATGTTGGGTGAATTTTGGCCCAATCCTCCTGACAGAACTGGTGTAACTGAGTCAGGTTTGTAGGCCTCCTTGCTCGCAAACGCTTTTTCAGTTCTGCACACGCTTTTTCAGTTCTGCCCACACATTTTCTATAGGATTGAGGTCAGGACTTTGTGATGGCCACTCCAATACCTTGACTTTGTTGTCCTTAAGCCATTTTGCCACAACTTTGGAAGGATGCTTGGGGTCATTGTCCATTTGGAAGAACCAAGCTTCCTGACTGATGTCTTAAGATGTTTCTTCAATATATCCACATAATTTTCCTTCCTCATGATGCCATCTATTTTGTGAAGTGCACCAGTCCCTCCTGCAGCAAAGCACCCCCACAGCATGATGCTGCCACCCCCGTGCTTCACGGATTGGGATGGTGTTCTTCGGCTTGCAAGCAACCCCCTTTTTCCTCCAAACATAACGATGGTCATTATGGCCAAACAGTAATATTTTTGTTTCATCAGACCAGAAGACATTTCTCCAAAAAGTACGATCTTTGTCCCCATGTGCAGTTGCAAACCGTAGTCTGGCTTTTTTATGGTGGTTTTGAATCAGTGGCTTCTTCCTTGCTGAGCAGCCTTTCAGGTTATGTTAATATAGGACTCGTTTTACTGTGGATATAGATAATTTTGTACCTGTTTCCTCCAGCATCTTCACAAGGTCCTTTGCTGTTGTTCTGGGATTGATTTGCACTTTTTGCATCAAAGTATGTTCATCTCTAGGAGACCGAACACCTCCTTCCTGAGCGGTATGACGGCTGCGTGGTCCCATGTGTTTATAGTTGCGTACTATTGTTTGTACAGATGAACGTGGTACCTTCAGGCTTTTTGGAAATTGCTCCCAAGGATGAACCAGACTTGTGGAGGTCTACAATTCTTTTTCTGAGGTCTTGGCTGATTTCTTTAGATTTTCCCATGATGTCAAGCAAAGAGGCACTGAGTTTGAAGGTAGGCCTTGAAATACATCCACAGGTACACCTCCAATAGGCTAATTGACATCATTTGAGTCAATCAGAAGCTTCTAAAGCCATGACATAATTTCCTGGAATTTCCCAAGCTGTTTAAAGTCAACTTAGTGTATGTAAACTTCTGACCCACTGGAATTGTGATACAGTGAATTATAAGTGAAATAATCTGTCTGTAAACAATTGTTGGAAAAATTACCTGTGTCATGCACAAAGTAGATGTCCTAACCGACTTGCCAAAACTATAGTTTGTTAACTAGAAATTTGTGGAGTGGTTGAAAAATGAGTTTTAATGACTCCAACCTAAGTGTATGTAAACTTCCGACTTCAACTGTATGTATATATATATTTGTGTATATATATGTTTATGTGTATGTATGTATGTATGTATGTATGTATATACAGTGGGGGAAAAAAGTATTTAGTCAGCCACCAATTGTGCAAGTTCTCCCACTTAAAAAGATGAGAGGCCTGTAATTTTCATCATAGGTACATGTCAACTATGACAGACAAAATGAGAAAAAATATCCTGAAAATCACATTGTAGGATTTTTTATGAATTTATTTGCAAATTATGGTGGAAAATAAGTATTTGGTCAATAACAAAAGTTTCTCAATACTTTGTTATATACCCTTTGTTGGCAATGACACAGGTCAAACGTTTTCTGTAAGTCTTCACAAGGTTTTCACACACTGTTGCTGGTATTTTGGCCCATTCCTCCATGCAGATCTCCTCTAGAGCAGTGATATTTTGTGGCTTTCGCTGGGCAACACGGACTTTCAACTCCCTCCAAAGATTTTCTATGGGGTTGAGATCTGGAGACTGGCTAGGCCACTCCAGGACCTTGAAATGCTTCTTACGAAGCCACTCCTTCGTTGCCCGGGCGGTGTGTAATAACAGAAAATGGGAGGACATAACATGATGTACAGTCAGTTTTCCTTTGTGTGGTTTGAGTAACACACTTTTCCTCTTTATCAATTGTTAATAAAGACATACTCAAATAAAGACATCCAATTGTTCCGTTCATTAGACCAAAGGAAGGACTTGAATTATAAAGTAATCTCATTAGTACATTTCTTTGGTGTCTTTCATGGCTGAATATAATAATAGACAGGATATAATGCAATAGACTGCCCGTAATCCTATCAATGCCCCACTTAAGGCCATTCTTTGTATGTGAACCAAAGCCACACATGGCATGGGTTTATACATGTCTCTGTACCTGACCAGTCTCTGCAGCACCCCCTCCACCTCCTGCTTCTTCCTCCTCAGCTGCACCTCATAAAGGCACGTTTCACAGTGGCGTCACCGCGTTGGCGATCTGCACGCTGAGGGGTGCCTCATCCTCCTCTGGCTCCTGCTGCTTGGAGTGGGGCTGCCCGGCACCCTCTGCCTCATCCCGCCCCCTCTTCCTGAGGATAGGGTCAGCCTTGGGTTTGGCCAGGCGCACAGTGAGCACCCGGCCTTTCCACTGCATGCCGTGCACCATCTTCATGGCCTTGTCCCTCTCCTCCTCATTCCTGAGAGTGACAAAGGCAAACGTCTGCTTCCCGAACAGTTTGATCTTGTGTGGGTTGAGGCGATGCTTCTCCAGGAACTTCTTCAGGTCGTTGAAGCCGATGAACTTGGGAAGGTTCTGGATCTCCACTTTGAAGATCTCAGAGGTGAAGAGGTCCACTTGGACGTAGCGGTACAGATTATTAGGGTCGGAAGAGGCTGCTTCTCCTCCTCCTTCAGCTTTGAGTTCATCTGTTTTCACCCCGTCCATCACATCTTCTACTGGCTCTTTTGTCCCCCCCTCTATTAAATCTTCTTTGGGGTCAGATGCCTTCTCCTCTTTCAGTGATGGAGAAACAATCACTGGGATGTCACCAACGTCTGTCCTGTTCTTGTTTGGGGGGGGGGGGGATAGTTGAATGTGTGCTTCATCTAGACAGTCTGCATTTCATTTCAAAATACACATTTTAGACATACACTATTTCTGCACTGCTTTAGGTATGCATCAAGGAAGCCTGAAGCTCTCCCAGATCTTACAGAGTTGTTACAGTGAGTGTAGCAAAGTGGCTGTCAAGCAGATTTAGCAAAGCACATTTTTAAAAGCAGGAACATAATTTAGCATTGAAAAGAACAGTTAACCTAGGACATTACTATACATTAAAGCAAACAACCAAGTTACCTGATAAAGAACATTTGTTTACGGGCAATTCTATTCTAACTAGAATAAACTGCAGGCTGCCATGTTGTGGGACACATGCAAATATTAACTTTCACATGATGCAGTATATAAATATATATATATTTACATCACTGGATATTTCAGCTGAAAATGTATAGGATGCATGTTCTCCATGATTCCTGTTAATTGTGTTATAGTGGAATGATAAATCTATAAAAATAAAAAGACACAGGAAGTGAGGAAGCTGCTAGATCTACAAAATGTGAATGGGTTGTTACTTTTGTTGACACTGAAATTGTTTCTAGCTAGCTACTTATCTATCTAATGTTTCAACAACACATTACACTTTTGAGATATGTAGCAACATTTTACAACGCTGAATGAAATGTCTACAGTAGACTTGCACTGCAACCAATTTACCATATGTAATAAAGAAAACAATAATAAATCAAGTGTATTCATGTTTCGTAAAATAACAATATCACACATACCATTATGCTATTTGTAGAGCATGTTATACGCTTTAAAGCCCTTTAAAATAATAGCGAAAATGGAGGGGGTGCTGGGGTGGAGAAACGCGAGTAGGACATTTCGGCGCGCGAAATCTATAGCAGGAAGAGAGAGGAACTCAAACGGAACGGAGAGTTTGGTTTTGAATCAATCAAACTAAATTCCGTAATCTACAAACATCTACATTAACATGGCAGATCCGAAGGTGAGTTTATGAGTTTTGAACATAGTTATCTGCCGTGCATTTAATTCAATGTACATTTAATTTCAATTGTGATGTTTTGATTGGCATTCTCAAAGTTTATCTTGCAAGGGTTGTGCCCGGGAAGGTAATGCCGGCTAAGGATGCTGATTTTTAACAACCTCGTTAAACATCTATTAGAGGTCTAAAGTGTAAATCGGTCTCAAAACAATAACTTACTGACAATGGTCAATCAGTTATGCCTTTGTTGTATGTGTCCAAAGTGTCAGAAAAGTGGACATCTCGGTACTTTTGCCGCCCTTTATATCTGCTCCAAAGCTAACTGGCTGGCTAGCTAACTAGCCAACATTAGCCAGCTAGCTAACAGATATAATCAAAGTTTTAGCTCATTGTTCTGCCTGTGGTATAATCGTGTAACCACTGCTTTCAAAATGATCATTTAAACCCAACATGTATTTGTTTGAGATATTAATGTACAATATTTGGCTTTGAAACTAGTTGTCTGTTATTCTGATAGTAATTGTTAGCCAGCTGGCTAACACGTTAACTAACAAAAGCCAGTTAACTCGCTAACGTTAGCTAGTTAACGTTAGAATCTTTTTAAATTGCAGTATTGTAGAAGTGTCCTGAGCTTACAATATTTGTTTGCATTTATTTAACATAGTGGGTAATTGCATTTAACTAGGTATGTGTCATTGACACGATGGCTAAACCTATTCATCTCTATTTAACTAACTTGCTAGCTTGGTGCTTTTCTGAATGGCCTAGCTTACGTTAGCTGGCTGGCTTGCTAACTCCAGGCCGAAAGAAATGTCAACTTTCTCAGTGCTTGTTTACCATTTAGCTAGCTAGAAATGATGTAAACATTGACATGCTGTCGGAGTTATGGCACTGTTAGCTATATAACCAAGCGGATAACTTCATTAGCTAACGTAACAAGACAACGATTGAGATGACTTGCTAGTTAGCTAGTCTTGGATGGAGACATGTTGCTATCGAAGTTTTAGCTAGCCATACAGTAACGTTACTCAAAAGCAGCCTCGCGCCCCTTACATTTTGTTCAGGCAGCGAAGGTTAATCAATTAATCTTACGGCAGTATCTAGCAAGATGGCTTGCTGATATTCATGTGAAGTTAGTTTTTTGGTAGCTGACTGTAAATGTGGCTAACTCTCATGTACAAACAGCACTAACGTTAGCTACTAGTTTAAGTTGGGCCTAGTTGTCCAGCTAACATAAGTTATTGTTTTGTGATTATTGTCCACTTGCTTCACTTTTATCTCTTCCTCTCGTGATGAGCGTTTTTATGTATTGTTAGGCAATATTACCATATTCTGTAGTAAGTGTGAGATCATATGGAGTTACAAGGTCTTTTGTAAAGCCATCCAGCAGCAAAGATGCATGGCTCAGCACCAGCACCACTAAGTTCAGTTGCCACAGCAAATTGCACACAAAGGATAACCTCCAAAGCCTGATCTCTCAAATCCCTCTATTCACATCCCTCTGCAGTTAGTTGGTGGAGCCTACTGTTTTTACAGTCTAATACATTGACTAGTAAAGTACATTTTACTAACTTGAAACGAGATGACAATCCAGGTGAAACTACAAGCCCACCAAAATTTGAGGATGATTTTTAATGAAAGCCAAATGCTGTCCTTAAAACCCATAAGTGTCTAAGGGGGGCGGGGGTTCTACTAAGCTATATGGAATTGTTTTAATAAGGTCATACCAAGGATCATTTTGCTATTTGATTTTGAATTTCAAGACCCCTTGAAGTATCAACAATTATTTGATGAAAAAATGAATTTTGTGTTACTGCTATTAGCCCATATAAACACATTGAATAACATATTCACTACATGGAACAACAGATAGTCCCCCCCAAATTATCTATCCTATATCAGAGAGCTACAGTAAAACAAAGATCAGGATTTTTATTTTACAAGTATTTAAACCCGTATTGTTCTCACTAAAGTCTCCATATATACGTCCATAAATTTTTTCTACTGGTACTGGGGGACCTTCAGACGAGTCTTGAGGCCTGTGGGCATCCTAGAGCAAAACAAGTGACATGTATGTGTTAAAGATGTCTCACCTTTACACAGAGGGGTCATGTTAGTGTGTAGGCCAAAACATGTTAGTGTGTAGGCCAAACTGTTTTCGGACACTTCAGACAGAAGTTGCCTGTACTGACTTTAGACAAGTACCAAGATGCGTGTGGGGATCGTAGAGCAAAATGGAGAACGCCATCGTGAGAGTCGTCTTTCCATAGAGGTGTCATAAAAGTTTGTAGGCTAAACCGTTTGGAAGCAACAGACAATTTTGTGAGAAGACCAATTTTAGGGATGTCTAATGGTCTGACAAACACTCTAGCTCTGTCACCTTTCACGGCGTAAGTGTTACATAGGCGGATGCGGTCGATTTGAGATGCATCCAATGCAAAAAATATATCACATATCTCTAGCTTAAACTGACAGATTTTTATGGGCATTTTTAAATTTAGCTAATTAGATGTCTGCGGGGGGGACATCGACCTTAGTGGGTTAACGTGTTTGGAAATCTTTTTTCATAGGAAACGCCAGAAGAGCAGGAGACTTCAACAGACAATGCAGAAGAATCAAACCACGATCCCCATTATGAGCCCATCGTGTCTCTTCCAGAGCAGGATGTGAAGACTCTAGAGGAGGACGAGGAGGAACTGTTCAAAATGTAAGCTGATGCTGAAAGCTTTCAATAGCCTAAATCATTGTGCAATACACAATTTGTAATTCATTCAGGGCCGAATCCTGATATCGAACTTCTAAATGAGTAGAATTTTCACTTAGCCATGCACTGTCGTCCGGGTTTGGCAGGTGTAGGCCGTCATTGTAAATAAGAATTTGTTCTTAACTGACTTGCCTAGTTAAATAAAAAAAGAACATTATTTATTTATTTATTTTACTTAAGTGGAAGTTAGGATTCGGCTCAAGTGTTATGAAACCATCCAGCCCTGTCAGGGCTCTACAGTGCGAACATTTTACTCTCCAATGCTCCTAAATAGTTTGCTGTGCGGCCTGGATTTTTTTGTGTGGACCTAATACGCCTAGAAAAAGTATTACCTCAAATATTTTTCACAGTGCTCCTAAATTTCTTTGTGTGTGCCTACATTTTTCAACTTAGGCACACACATGCTCCTTGTAAAAAAAGGTTGGCATAGAGCCCTGCCTCTGTCACCCAGGTATTGTCACTGATTCCATCCAAAGCTTCATCATTCTACCCATATTGTCTCGCCCCACAGGCGTGCGAAGCTCTACCGTTTTGCCTCTGAGAATGACCCACCAGAGTGGAAGGAGCGCGGCACAGGCGACGTCAAGCTCCTTAAACACAAAGAGAAGGGCACCATCCGCCTATTGATGAGGAGAGACCGGACCTTGAAGATCTGTGCCAATCACAACAGTGAGTCACAGAAGGCTTCCTGTCTCAACCAGTAGTGTTTATCACTGCTGTCTAGTGTGTGTCAGACTGGTGTGTGTCAGACTGAAACCTTTCCATTAACCCATGCATGTTGCCTGTCCACTGAATTACCATTCTAAGTATGAGATGATAGTGAGGTATAAGCAAAACAAGTCATTGTATAGATATGTGACTCTATGGGTCAGTGGCCTAATTCCTTTTCATCTTCTGCTCTTTCAGTTTTCCCTGTGATGGAGCTGAAGCCCAACGCTGGCAGTGACAGGGCCTGGGTATGGAACACACTCGCTGACTTCGCTGATGAGCATCCCAAACCTGAACTCCTGGCAATCCGTTTCCTCAATTCAGAAAGTGAGTGCGACAACATGTCTATTTTAGTCACTGCGTTTAGCTTTTAACAATTCAGTCGGCTTCTCATACAGAAAGTGTGGATGGGGTTTAAAATAACTTCTGTACTTTTCAGACGCTCAGAAATTTAAGGTGAAGTTCGATGAATGCAAGGAGGAAGTCAGAAAATCTCAAGATGGATCAGGTTGGTGTGCAATTCTTTTTTCCACATTATCTTTCATAGTCAGTATGCAGACAATACTCTGTTCCCTGCCGATCACTCCAGCCTGGAACTTTTTATGTCTGCTAAATTAACATGCAGAATGTAACAACTCGCTGGCCTACTGTTAGGCTAATGTTGGTACGTTCTGGCACACTTAGAATTGTTTTCTCTGCAATGTTAATTACAAAGAACAACCATTGTTCAGCAGGTCACATGTTAAGCACTACCCAGTAGATTAACTTTACGTAATGTATCAGTGGAACGAGAAGTCTTGTGAAACACTCAAGCTGGAATATTCTTAGTCATTCAAATGGCAGACATCCCCAATGCCCTAAAACAAGCTCTTACATGAAGAAGACTGTTACTGTTGATGTGTAGCCACCGTGCTTCTACATCTGCATTGCTTGCTCTTTGGTGTTTTAGGCTGGGTTTCTGTATAAGCACTTTGTGACATCTGCTGATGTGAAAAGGGCTTTTATAAATACATTTGATTGGCCCCATCTTAGCCATCCTGTTCGCTCGTACATTGGGCCACCATGGCACACCACACTTACAATCTCATCTTTCTGTACTTTTCTGCAGGAGAAAACATTGACCGCGCAAACAAAGTGGCAGAGAAACTGGAGGCACTATCTGTAAAGGACGACAAGACCAAGACACCAGAGGAAAAGAAAGAGGATCAAAGGGAGGAAAAAGCAGCAGCAGAAGAGAAGAAATGAATCCAAGTGAACTTGCTTTACTGATCTTCAACGTGTCTTTTTCCTTTTTTTCTACCATAGACTAAAGAAACTGAATTTGGACTCTTGCATATTGATTTATTTAGTAGTTTTTTTTAAATGATTTGTTTGCCTGGAGAGATCGCAAGACCTTGGTGCCACTCTAAAAAAAAAGTATCCATTCATTAAAATGTGCCGCTCCCCACCCGCCCTCTTTTTTTCCATTATGGAAAACAAGTTGTCTGTTCTGCTCATCTGTGTCAACTTGACATACTGTGAAATGAGGCTTGTGATATTGGTAATTCCCACATTGGGTAAGTCTTTTTTGTGTTCTTCTGAATGAAGCAAAGTTAGTTTATAGGGAATAGGACTGCTTGTTAGTGCCTCAAGTATGATGGAAAACAGGCAGAGAGGAGCTGTAATGTCTTGGTATGCATCTCAATATGGAGGCTTCCTCTCTTGGTATTCCTCTCCTTCGTCTTTACTGATCTGAATACAGACAAGGTGAAAAACCTAATTTTATTTGTCACATGTGTCGAATACAACAGGTGTACACTTTACTGTGGAATGCTTACTGCCCTTCGCAACGATGCAGAGAGAAAAATAGTAACACGAGGAATAAAATACACAAGAATGAAGCTATATACAGGGAGTACCAGTACCAGATCAATGTGCAGAGGTATGATGTATTTGAGGTAGATATGTACATAAAGGCAGGGCAATATGGTGGATGCTTACCAGGCAGAAGTTTGCTTTCACCTATTTGCTGTCAGGTTCAGATGAAGGAGAGGAAATGAATGGAGGAAGACACTTTGGACCATTGAGACGCAGCTGTAGCTTGGTAACGTGAGGGTGCATTTTGGGAACTGATTACCAGTACCATATCAGTGTGCAGAGGTATGAGGTATTTGAGGTAGATATGTACATAAAGGCAAAGCAATGTGGTGGATGCTTACCAGGCGGGAATTTGCTTTCACCTGTCATTTTCTGTCAGGATCAGATGAAGGAGAGGAAATGAGTGAAGGAAGACACTTTGGACCATTAAGACGTAGCCGTAACGTGTTTAACATCAGGTGCATTTTGGGAACTAGTCCTCTGCTCGGATCAGTTATCAGTGACTCGTATCTAAGATGTCCTACTGCTGATGATATGATGCCCATAATTCAACAAATCAGAAAGGTGTTTTTGATTTTGTTTCATTTTTAGTTGTTGAAGACTGATCACACCATATCAAAATTAAATACAATGGTTCATAAGACTTTGGTATAGGCTACAGTACGTTCTGGCTTGGTTACCCTTCCCGGTGGCTCAAGTTTGTTTTTAGGTCAAAATACATTCCCTCAAACTGAAACTAAAGCATGTAGAAAATGTATAGTGCAAGAGTGTAATGATGTGGAATCAGCTGTGCTCACCATTCTGACCTGTACCTACTGAGTTGACCCTGCCCCTTAGGTGCATCGACGTGCCAGTGCATCTGTAAATACATGTACAGGCTGGAATGTTGCTTTTCATTTGCACTCATATGGTTTGAGATGTTTCCTCCATCTTCCAATAAAAGCTCTCAAAGACCATTTGGTCTGTCTATGTTACATGGGGTGAGGACTTGCTAAGTGGGAAAGAGCAGTAGAGCCAGTCTGGTATGGAAATTCAATGCCATCTCAGGCTGCCTTGCAAGATGGTCTGGCTTGAAATGTTTATATATCATCTAATGGTACACATTCAGTAAGCTGTATTAAAACATTCATCAGTTGATTCCATGTGTTTGATAATCACTGCTTATTCACCAACCTTTCAAGTTCTGTACTGTTTCAGTACTGTGGTGACAGTGAAATGCATTCTAATAAATTCCAAATGATGGTGCTGTTGCAGAGAACAAATACATTTTGATCAAAACATGTCCCTGAAATGAATCAACATTAATGAACAAAAATATAAATGCAAAATTTTTAATGATTTTACTGAGTTACAGTTCATATACATTAATTAGCCCCTAATCTGGATTTCACATGACTGGGCAGGGGCGGAGGCCTGGGAGGGCATAGGCCCACCCTCTTGGGAAACAGGCCCAGCCAATAAGAATACGTTTTTCCCCTCAAAAGGGCTTTATTACAGACATACATACTCTTCAGTTTCATCAGCTGTCCAGTTGGCTGGTCTCAGACCATCCCGCAGGTGAAGAAGCCGGATGTAGAGGTCCTGGGCTGGTGTGGTTACACGTGGTCTGCGGTTGTGAGGCCGATTGGACGTACTGCCAAATTCTCTAAAATGACGGAGGCGGTTTATGGTAGAGAAATGAACATTACATTTACTGGCAACAGCTTTGGTGGACACTCCTGCAGTCAGCATGCCAATTGCATGCTCCCTCAAAACTTGAGACATTGTGTGACAAAACCACATTTTAGAGAGCCTTTTATTGTCCCCAGCACAAGGTGCACCTGTGTAATGATCATGCGGTTTAATCAGCTTCTTGATATGCCAAACCTGTCAGGTGGATGGATTATCTTGGCAAAGTGGAAATGCTCGCTAACAGGGCTGTAAACAAATTTGTGCACAACATTTTAGAGAAATAAGCTTTTTGTGCGTATGGAACATTTCTGGGATCTTTTATTTCAGTTCATGAAACATGGGACCAACACTTTACATGTTGCGTTTATATTTTTGTTCAGTGTACATTTAATCAGTGATTTTTTTATGAACAAAAATAATAGACCAAATATATATTATTTTCTTCAGTGAACAAAAAAAAACAGTCCCATAGTTTTATGTATGACTTCCCTTATGTATTGTAATACTATTGGTTTGCTGTACCAGACAGCTGATGAAAGTGGATGCATTTCTTGTCTTCAGTCTGAAGCCTGTTGATGTTCTGGACAGACAGACTGACAGTCAGGAATACCCTGAGTGTTAACAGTGTCAGGGTAAGTAGCCACCTTTGGCACTTTTTAACCAAACTTTTTTTTAACAACATCTGCTTCCTATGACTTTACATTGCTTCATCATACAGTTTCATCAATAACTTGTTTTACACTGCAAAATACAACAAACTAGTATACCCCCTTCTCTGTATGCGTTATGTTATTTATTTATTCCCTTAAGTTATAAATTATCAACAAGAAAATCCACTCAAAATACAAACATCCATTCCAAGCTTGAGCATCTGTATAAAAAGCAAGATGTATCAAACATTTTCCAAAGGTTGGGTATATATTAATAATAATAATAATAAAATGTTTTAACAATGGTGAGTTTTCTACATTTTGTAACACAGTTGAATACTTTGATTTTCAAGGTTTTTTCACACTTGATTTGAATCATAACAAAACACAATTATACATGGCATTAACATAATTTATTATGGGCAGACCTATTTTACAAAAAATACAAAGTCACAAAAGTAATAAATTGCCTGTCAGATGTTTTAGCTGTGCATGGCTGACTGCCAAGCTGGTGGGATTTGTACTGAATATGGTGAGGACTGTTTTGACTGGGTATTCAGAACTAATCGCAGACAACAGCCACCACTGTAACGCTCTGAAGCAGAGGCTTTTGTGTACAGTGGGGAGAACAAGTATTTGATACACTGCCAATTTTGCAGGTTTTAAACTTACAAAGCATGTAGAGGTCTGTAATTTTTATCATAGGTACACTTCAACTGTGAGAGACGGAATCTAAAACAAAAATCCAGAAAATCACATTGCATGATTTTTAAGTAATTCATTTGCATTTTATTGCATGACATAAGTATTTGATCACCTACCAACCAGTAAGAATTCCGGCTCTCACAGACCTGCTAGTTTTTCTTTAAGAAGCCCTCCTGTTCTCCACTCATTACCTGTATTAACTGCACCTGTTTGAACTCGTTACCTGTATAAAAGACACCTGTCCACACACTCAATCAAACAGACTCCAACCTCTCCACAATGGCCAAGACCAGAGAGCTGTGTAAGGACATCAGGGATAAAATTGTAGATCTGCACAAGGCTGGGATGGGCTACAGGACAATAGGCAAGCAGCTTGGTGAGAAGGCAACAACTGTTGGCGCAATTATTAGAAAATGGAAGAAGTTCAAGATGACGGTGGATCACCCTCGGTCTGGGGCTCCATGCAAGATCTCACCTCGTGGGGCATCAATGATCATGAGGAAGGTGAGGGATCAGCCCAGAACTACATGGCAGGACCTGGTCAATGACCTGAAGAGAGCTGGGACCACAGTCTCAAAGAAAACCATTAGTAACACACTACGCCGTCATGGATTAAAATCCTGCAGCGCACGCAAGGTCCCCCTGCTCAAGCCAGCGCATGTACAGGCCTGTCTGAAGTTTGCCAATGACCATCTGGATGATCCAGAGGAGGAATGGGAGAAGGTCATATGGTCTGATGAGACAAAAATAGAGCTTTTTGGTCTAAACTCCACTCGCAGTGTTTGGAGGAAGAAGAAGGATGAGTACAACCCCAAGAACACCATCCCAACCGTGAAGCATGGAGGTGAAAACATCATTCTTTGGGGATGCTTTTCTGCAAAGGGGACAGGATGACTGCACCGTATTGAGGGGAGGATGGATGGGGCCATGTATCACGAGATCTTGGCCAACAACCTCCTTCCCTCAGTAAGAGCATTGAAGATGGGTCGTGGTTGGGTCTTCCAGCATGACAACGACCCGAAACACACAGCCAGGGCAACTAAGGAGTGGCTCCGTAAGAAGCATCTCAAGGTCCTGGAGTGGCCTAGCCAGTCTCCAGACCTGAACCCAATAGAAAATCTTTGGAGGGAGCTGAAAGTCCGTATTGCCCAGCGACAGCCCCGAAACCTGAAGGATCTGGAGAAGGTCTGTATGGAGGAGTGGGCCAAAATCCCTGCTGCAGTGTGTGCAAACCTGGTCAAGACCTACAGGAAACGTATGATCTCTGTAATTGCAAAAGGTTTCTGTACCAAATATTAAGTTCTGCTTTTCTGATGTATCAAATACTTATGTCATGCAATAAAATGCAAATTAATTACTTAAAAATCATACAATGTGATTTTCTGGATTCCGTCTCTCACAATTGAAGTGTACCTATGATAAAAATTACAGACCTCTACATGCTTTGTAAGTAGGAAAACCTGCAAAATCGGCAGTGTATCAAATACTTGTTCTCCCCACTGTATCTGCTTAGCACTGGTCTGTGTCAGTGGGTCACTGTAACATAACATTCAAACTAATAGATAGGATGTTGGACTACATAAACAGTGCATTGGGAAAGTACTTTTCCACATTTAGTTACGTTACAGCCTTATTCTAAAATGGATTCAATTGTTTTTTCCCTCATCAATCTACACACAATACCCCATAATGATAAAGCAAAAACAGGTTTTTAGATTTTTTTGGCAAATTTATAAAAAATCTAAAACATAAATATCACATTTACATAAGTATTCAGACCCTTTACTCAGTACTTTGTTGAAGCACCTTTGGCAGCGATTACAGCCTCAAGTCTTCTTGGGTATGATGCTACAAGCTTGGCACACCTTTATTTGGGGAGTTTCTCCCATTCTTCACTGCAGATCCTCTCAAGCTCTGTCAGGTTGGATGGGGAGCGTCGCTGCACAGCTATTTTCAGGTCTCTCCAGAGACGTTCGATCGGGTTCAGGTCCGGGCTCTGGCTGGGCCAATCAAGAACATTCAGAGACTTGTCCTGAAGCCACTCCTGTGTTGTCTTGGCTGTGTGCTTAGTGTCGTTGTCCTGTTGGAAGACGGACCATCACCCCTGTCTGAGGTCCTGAGCACTCTGGAACAGGTTTTCATCAAGGATCTCGCTGTACTTTGCTCCGTTCATCTTTCCATCGATCCTGACTTGTCTCTCAGTCCCTGCCGCTGAAAAACATCCCCACAGCATGATGCTGCCACCACCATGCTTCACCGTAGTAATGGTGTCAGGTTTCCTCCAGACGTGACACTTGGCGTTCAGGCCAAAGAGTTCAATCTTGGTTTCATTAGACCAGAGAATCTTGTTTCTCATGGTCTTGAGAGTCTTTAGGTGCCTTTTGGCAAACTCCAAGTGGGCTGTCATGTGCCTTTTACTGAGGAGTGCTGCAGAGATGGTTGTCCTTCTGGAAGGTTCTCCCATCTCCACAGAGGAACTTCCAAACTTCTTCCATTTAAGAATGATGGAGGCCGTTGTGTTCTTGGGGACCTTCAATGCAGCAAAAATGTTTTGGTACCCTTCCCCAGAGCTGTGCCGCGACACAATCCTGTCTCGCAGCTCTATGGATAATTATTTTGACCTCATGGCTTGGTTTTTGCTCTGACTTGCACTGTCAACTGTGGGACCTTATATAGACAGGTGTGTGCCTTTCCAAATCATGTCCAATCAATTGAATTTACCACCATCAATTGGTGCTCCAATCAAGTTGTAGAAACATCTCAAGGATGATCAATGGAAACAGGATGCACCTGAGCTCAATTTCGAGTCTCATAGCAAAGGGTCTGAATACTTATGTAAATAAGGTATTTCTGTTTTTAATTTTTCATAAATGTGCAAATAAAAGTAAAAACCTGTTTTTGGTTTGTAATTATGGGGTATTGTGTGTAGATTGATGAGGAAAAACATTAATTTAATCAATTTTAGAATAAGCCTATAACGTAACAAAATTTGGAAAAAGTCAAGGGGTCTGAATACTTTCCAAATGCACTGTATGTTGCTGATAACGTACAGACTGTAGCTTATGGTATACTGTATAGGGAAATAAATACTGGAGCTCAGCTAGTTGAGATGAATATACTCCTGTACTGTAAGCCCTAAAACACCTCCTCAAAACTTTGAGGATAAATGTAGAGTTGGAGACATTCAAGACCTGTGTCTCTGAGTGCAACACAGCACCGTTGTATTGACATTTCATATCCATTCATCCTATCTTGTGTTGTCTTCGGCTCAGAACAGTCGGCCTATTACAGATTGTATTGATCTAAAACGGACTGGTTTAATGTGATCTTCTCTCTGTGCTGCTCAGTAATGGCCAACATGTTGTTGATGGACCAGACAGACATGGTCATTTGGACAGGATATGTGAAGCACTTTGAATTCCTAAGAGGGATGCTGTATGCTTGAATCCAATGGAGTGCTGCTGTATGCATGACTTATTGGGTTGGAGATGGCTATCCATACCATTGCTATTTTAAAGAATGTGACTGAACAAAGATGTGTGACATCAATTGTATGTGTTTGTGTGTCTGGGTGTTAACCTCTTGTGGTCTGGGTGGGTGTGTAGTGAGTGTGATGATGACACATAACAGCAGATAGACTGCAACTGAGAGACGCCGTAAACAACACATTTAAGATCTGTCTGTCTGATTCAGACTGTTCAGTGATAACCAACACAACAAGCCACAGAATTCAACAACACAACACTCAGTACAAACATCAGCCCTCTTTAGGTTGAAGTTGCTCTTTTCCCACAACACATACTGATCAAGATCCACTCCTCCAGTACAGACACAGAGACCGGGGCTAGGCCCGGAATGAGCAGAGATCCTTTGATTGGACAATAATTCCCAAGTAGGAAGTGCTCTGCGCCCCTGATTGGTTAAAATCGAATAAAAAAAGGTACAAGGAAGAAGAGAATCCTCTAGCACGGTTGTGGATGTTGTTGCCATTGGAGGTGGTTGCCATGTCAATGCTGACTTCTCCCTCAAGGTTTGGCGCCCCGGGCCCCAGCCCTCTCACACAGATATCTCATAGGTGGTGCCACCCACCCCGGTCACCTTTTTGACATTACTGTGGCGACTAGGGCTGAGAGGAGTGGAACTGTTGGGCCCTAGATGGCAGTTCATTTGTCCATTCACTTTACTTTGCATCATGGCCTCTCTGAATGGGTAGAGAAAAACAAGAGAGGGCATAGTTATTCGAGTGTGAGAACTAACTTTGCTTTAGATATAATCTCTCCCCCCATCTTAATACATGCACATGGATTATAAACACAGATAATTCAGTTGTCCCACCAGAAAGTGTGTATTGTTCTGGCATGCATGTTCTGGTGGTGTTAGTAGTTGGTGTTATGTCCCCGGAGCATGCAGTATGGAAATGACCATGACACTAGTTAGAGGAGTAATGAAACACACGCCAGTGTACCTGCTGGTGCTAGCATAAATTACCATGAGTGTTGTATTCATGACCCCAAAATCTGTATTAAATGTTATGAAATAAGGGGTAAGGTGGGTTGGGTTGGAGCACGGTTGCGTAGTGCGGTGGGCCCCGCGGGGCAGGGAGTGGCGACACGGCTACATTTGTATGCAAGTAAGAGAGCTCTACATTATTATGAAATGAATTATATGGAAGCTGTGCTGTTTCTGTTTATATGTGCATGTGTGTCTTTTGTTTCGGTTTTACTTTGTTACCAAACTTTTCCCTTTGGAAATTAGTTTTTAAAAGAAGTGGGAAGGAAATAGACTGATGTGTATGAATTGTGGTGTCTTTTCCTGTTAAATAAAATATTATAAGAAAGAAATAAGGGGTAAACCAATAGTGTGTTGTTAGTGATATTGTAGGAGTTTCTGTAGGTGGTGAACACATGCATAGAGAGACGTAGATGTTAATGTTGCCCTCCCAGATGTAAGAGATGGACAGGATGGAAATAAGCATGCAAACAGAAGGAAATGATAGTGGGGTAATGCAACTTTATTAATCCGAAAGACAGACAATTTAGAAAAATGAAGGCAAAACATTTAAATCCAGTGACATACACAGTACTTCATTCGGATAAAAAGGGTATAATATCTGAAAGATACTGTATGTATACAGCACAGGAGGCTGCTGAGGGGATAATAATGATAATAACCACAGGACGTTGGTGGCACCTTAATTGGGGAGAACGGGCTCATAATAATGTCTGGAACGGAGCAGAATGTAATGGCATCAAACACCTGGAAACCATGTGTGTTTGATGTATTTGATACCATTCCACTGATTCCGCTCCAGTCATTACCAACGAGCCCGTTCTCCCCAATTAAGGTGCTGCCAACCTCCTGTGGTATACAGAAGCTACATGTTAACACCTAGCCTTAGCTCTCTGAGACTCACTACTTATCCTGTGTGGGGGGGACTAGAGCCCATACACTGCTAGTTTCTGCCCAGTCAGCCAGCAGGGCTTCCTGTGGGGACTGAGGTCTGTCCCCAGCCCCTTAGCTCATTTCATGCACCCCAGGAGACGTTAGGGGGATGTTAGGATTCGTACCTTGGGCCACCCAGGCGGGGTGAGTCTGTCCTCTCCAGGGCATGGATAAAGGAGAGTTTCTGGTGGGTGTAGGAGGGGGATCGGGGCATGGCGGGGGAGTGGTGGGGCTGGTGGGCCGGGGAGCGGTAGGAGGGCTCGGGGGCCCTGCCTCCCTGCATGCTGCTGTCAGTGTGCAAGGAGATGGAGGAAGTCCTGGGGGCACGTAGCAGAGAGGAGCCACCAGAGGAGCGCAGCACGGGGGTCCGCGGCCCGTAGCTCACCACCCCCACCCCCATCAGGTTGTCCCTGGAGCCTCCGTAGGCCGGGGGTGTGGGGCCTTTGGAGCTAGGGCCCCGGGGCCCGTCTGGGTAGCAGGCGCTGGGAGGCAGGCCGTACCCTCCAGGGCTGTCAAACATGCCTGAGTCCTGAGCCTGGGCATAGGCCTGAGCCTGGGAGCGTCCCCCGTGGTGCAGCAGCTTCTCCTTCTCCTTCTCCTCCATCTCCTTACGCTCCTGGATGGAGGCCATGATGGTTTTGGAGAGGTTGTCGTAGCGCACCGGGGACGGGTCCCGGTCCCGGTCCTGGGGGGACTGCCTGCTCATCCCCATCCCCCTGGAGCCCAACATGGGGCTGAAGCTAGGGGGGACCTGCTGCCTCTGGCTCTGCAGTTCAGGCCCTCGCACGTGGCACATTTTGGTTGGCAGGTAGGGTGTGTGGAAGCCCATTGAGGGCATACCAGGGTGGGCCATGCACTCTGCCTCTGCGGCTGGGGAAATGCTGGGGTTGAGCAGGCTGTCGTAGGAGAGGCTGCCGTTGCGGTTGGACAGTGTGTTGGGGGAGAAGACACTCTTATAGGGGGTGGAGGTGACGGTCTCGGGCTGCAGGGCAGGCAGCTGGCCCTTGTCTCTGCGATGGTGGGCATGCTTCAGGCTGAGGGAGCGGGAGGTGATGGGGTAGGAGTCCAGCTGCAGCGGGGAGGACTGGAAGGTGCGGTGGAGAGGGGCGTTGTGGTAGTCAGGCAGGTTGGGCTCTGAGCGGTAGTCAACGTGGCAACGGCCCTCCTCCAAGATGGCTGACGCCTTACGGTGGTCATCTGGCATTACAATCTGACAAGACAAAACAACACAGTAGTGAGAAATATGACTGGACTATTATTTTGACTAGCCATATTATAATGAAAAAGTTTTTATTACAAATTGTTACAGGCTGTCAACTTCATATGCAATCACACTCGCAACTGTGCAGGAATACAGTAAATACTGGGTAAGCCTGTTTGCAATTACTATCAAATAACAGTCATTTAGTCTGACCTTCTCCCCTGCCGCGTTGTAGTGGACTTTAGGGATGGTGCTGAACGAGGGCCGGTACTTGTACATGGCCGGGGTGGAGGGGTGGGTCTTACCAGTTAGGGAACTATCTGGAAGGGGAGGACAGAGAGGACAATGTTATTGTGTGAGAGAGAGCCAGACAGTCATCAGATCACAGCACAACAATCAGTCTGTTCTCTGTTAAAATGATGTAAGCATCCAATTTATGTTGGGTTAGAATTGATAGTGTTGTTTTCACGGCTCATTATGTCTTCACCTCATGTTGCTGCAAATAATGCAGCAACATAAAATACCACCAAGTGGCAGTAGAGCTACAGTGAGGGAAAAAATAAACAGGAAGGTCCATACAATGAAATATGACACTATACACTGAGTGTACAAAACATAATATTGAGTTGCTGAATGGCAAGCATACACAATCCATGTCTCAAGGCTTTAAAATCCTTATTTAACCTGTCTCCTCCCCTTCATCTACACTGATTGAATGGATTTAACAAGTGACATCAATAAGGGATCACAGCTTTCACCTGAATTCACCTGGTCAGTCTATGTCATGGAAAGAGCAGATGTTCCTAATGTTTTGGACACTCAGTGCTGATGTAGCCTTACATACCATTGCAGTGTATAGAAAAACACCTGCAGTGTATGTCATGTTTTGTAGCATGTTGTACTACAGTACCCATAATGCTCTGTAACTATATCCAGTTTATCTTACTAGACGTGTTCCTAAAACTAACACTGTGGTATCCCATCTCCTTATACAATGCTACCAGAAGCAAACGGCAAAGCTATCAAACCTTTACTATAGCCCACTCTCAATAGCTTGTTCACTTAAAATGTTGATTTAGCACAAAAAGGCAGTCATTTATATGAATAGGGTCCTACAGATAAATATCCATATTATTTTCATATTCTTCTACTTGGCAGAACTCCACCTAGAATACAGTAACATAGAGAGTGATTCATGCTGTAATTATCTCCTCACATTCCCCTGAACCCATCTCACAACACCCCCCCTCCACACACACACACACACAGTCTATCACAAATCTGGAGCAGGTTCACTGAACCAGGCCCGCTCATGTCAAATGACATTTAATTTCTCCTCGCTGATGAAGAGCCATAGAGTCCTGCCACACTGGAGTTCATTCATCAAGCCCAACTAGCTATATAAGTAATCACTCTAGCACTCAGATGAGATGGAGCACGTCTAAGAGGCCAGAGAGAGCAGTTTGGTTCAATACACCAGAGAGAGAAAGGAAAGAAGGGGAAAGAGAGAGAGAGAGTGAGCGAGAGTGAGCGAGAGAGCGAGAGAGAGAGGGAGAACGAGAGAGAAAGAGGGAGAGAGATACACACAGAAAGGGAGAGAGATACACACAGAAAGAGAGAGAGATGAATGTCATGATATTGCATAGAGCGCCCATTACGGGCTACTTACCTTCGCTGGATGTCAGCTGGCTCTTCAGCTGGTTGTAGCGGTCAGCTTTGGGGGGCAGCGGGGGCTGGGTGTCTAGGCCTTTGTCATCCAGGGCCAGGCCATCCAGACTGATCTTGGACTGGAGATGGGAGAGGACAAGGGGTTTAAAGGTCAACAGCAGATGGAGGAACATAATGGGGGATAGGACTAAGGATAGGACAGGGGACAGGGCAGGGGACAGGACAGGGAATAAGACTAGACAACGAAGACAGTTGTATCTACTGAATGTACTGAAGCTTACTTTAGACCGGAGGATGCTGGTGTGGATCCCGTTGTCGCTGACCTTGATGCTGATCTGTCTGTCAGAGAGGTCTGGTCTGATGAAGGGGGGCTGGATGGAGACAGGGGGCTTCTTCCTGGGGTCCACACCTGTGTACCTGTATAGAGGAGAGGAGAGACGAGAGATGACTTATCATATGGGAGTCAATTACATAGAAGATGGCAAGACATCACAAACAGATCTGGGACTCAGGCTATACGGGTGTATTGGGGCGGCTTCAATGGCTGATGATGATTATAACAAAACTGTTTCATCCCCACCTGGGTATCGTCTATCTGCAGCTATCTACGCTGTTAATTTTAGCAGTGTAATATCTCCCAAAAGGTATTTTTAATCTGGCTCTGGGGTCTGGCTGCTGAATATGTGAAAGTGTGTTTGTGTGTTTGTGCTGTGCTTGATTTCCCCTTCACTGTTGTTCTACAAAGTGATTCAATTCTCCAAGCCATCTGCCTTCCCCCAGGGGTAGATGGCTTCATCCAGGCAGAACAGGACACACCTCCACACACATACACATATACAGTACCAGTCAAAAGTTTGGACACACCTACTCATTCAAGGGTTTTTCTTTATTTTTACTATTTTCTACATTGTAGAATAATAGTGAAGACATTAAAACTATGAAATAACACATATGCAATCATGTAGTAACCAAAAAAGTGTTAAACAAATCTAAATATATTTTATATTTGAGATTCTTCAAAGTAGCCACCCTTTGCCTTGATGACAGCTTTGAACACTCTTGGCATTCTCTCAACCAGCTTCATGAGGTAGTCACCTGGAATGCATTAAAGAAAAACCCTTGAATGAGTAGGTGTGTCCAAACTTTTGACAGGTACTGTACGCACACGTACAAAAGCACATATACACATCTTGCTTTGGACATTGTTGCAGTTCTATCTCAGCAGTCCACTCAGAATGATTACAGCAGAACTGGTACTGTGGCAACCCCCTGGTCGACTTTTTAATGTCTGTCTGTCCAGCTCCCACCACCACCCACACCACTTCACCTAGGAATCCATGTCCTCCTTACCTGGGCACCAGGGGAGCACACAGGACATACTTGATGTTGCCACAGCAACCCCGCGTGAAGGGATTTACTCCTCCGCGGAACTTGCCCGTCACCTGAGGAACAGAAGGCGTTGTTAGAGTGGGAGGGAGAGGACACCCAAGGCCAGAACACACACACACACACACACCTAGAACTAGTTAGCGGATTTGAGTTGGCAAGTGAAGATGCGATGCTGATATTGTGTCCTGTAAGATACACGATATAATGTACTGTATGTGAGTGTGTGTATGTGTCTTTGTAAGCTGCTCTTGGGTGGGCCCCCTCTCACCTGTTCGTTAGTGGTGCGACCTCTGGCGACGAGGACCATATGGAAGCCTGTCAGGCCCATGACCGGAATGAAGAAGAGCCCTGCTATACACATCACCACCAGACTGGGCACACACAGTCAAGGAGAGCACATTTTCTGGACCCATTTTAGCAGCTGCAAACCAACCAGCACTGCCAACAATGACTGTATGGCTGCCACTGAGCCATTCAGACAACCCTTTTAGAGGAGCAGGCATTTCTGTATACAACAATCAACATTTTCATACTCCACCAGCAAGGATGTGATCATCTGTCAAACCATAAAAATTAGGGGTTCCAGTCTAGTGGTCCATTTTAATGCTTAGACACACCTTTCCCTAGGCCCTTCAGAACAGAACACAAAAGGCACTAGTTTTGTTACAGGGGAAATAAGACCCAGCTGGCGGCAGTGTGGAAGGATACGTGATGGTAGTGTGCAGCGTGCCCAGCCGCTCCATGTGGTGCAGCACAAACAGCAGGCCGAAGGAGAACACGCCGACCATGTGGATGCTTAGCGACAGCAGGAACAGGAAGAAGTAACGGTAGTTCCTGCGTCCGATGCAGTTGTTCACCCAGGGGCAGTGGTGGTCAAAGTCCTGAGGAGGGACAGAGAGATAGATGGGTGTTAGGCGATGGTCATAGGGTAGAGTGGAGATGAACAGGATCAGACTCTACACTACATGATAAAGCGCTTCAGTGTTTTCACTCAACAGAGATGTTTCTATCAATTCCATCACCTCTGATTGCAAGTCAGATTTCTGAGGTCGGGTTTTTTTTTTAAACATCTAATTTAGCTGACTTTGATTTAGTTTTTGGTTGTGGTTGAGTATCTACTGAAGAACATAGCATCAGTGGAAGTGGAAGAAGTTTGGCTGACATATAGTAGGCTACCTCACAACCTTCAGTTCAAAGTCAGATTTGACCTCTTTCATGGAGAGTTAGACTGTACATGAAAGAGCGAGGCAGAGCCACATCAGAAGGCTACTTGGGGAGCAACACAGCTGGAGAATGCGACTTCAAATCGGGAAAAAAGTTATGAAACCAATTTTCTATATTACTCAATACTGCTTGGATATGGTGTAAAACATGATGGCAATCCAATAATGAATTAATATTGTTCACAGACAGTTGATTTAAAGGTCATACCTGTGAAAACATACCAGTCAGTTGTAGAGGTCACCAATAGCAACAAGGCTAACACCACATTGTACTGTCAAGAGCAATGGGCCTTTGACTGTGTGTGTCTTACCTCCACGCAGTTGTCACACACGCTGCAGTGGGAACAGCGGGGCGGTCTGTAGAAGTGACAGGTGGCACACCACTTCATTCGGACCTGAATTCCCTTGATCTCCACGTTCTTGTAGAGAGGCGCCCGGAAATCCTCGTCCTTGTCCTCGTCCTCATCCGCTGTGCCACAGAGAGACAACACACACATTGTTAGCAGGAAAGTACACTCACACACATGCACACACGCACACAAATCTGATTTATATGATTCCATTTGACAGGGGCAACAGGAGGTAGACTTAAATAAGCTAGCTCCCATGGTTAGCTGTCTGTACAAATTGACATTTTATAGACACAATGCATTTAAACAAGGTAGTAAACACACAGTAATGTTTAAAGCCCGGGGGCGGAGCTTTCAGTGAATGACTAAAAAATCACATTCACTCCACACCGCTGGTCATTGCACTGCTGCTGTCTTTCTGAAAAAGTACATTTCCACAGGTTTAGTGGATCTTTGCACAATGAGCCACTTTACGCTTAGCCTTAGTGCAATATTTATATTTCTATGTGGAGTGTATTGCTCTGGATAGAGATGGAAAATAACATGGGATGTCTTTCGGTTAATCAAAGAGCCCATTCAACCTAAAGGAGGATCATCATGGGGCTTTATCTAAAAACACATTTTACACTCTCCCCATTTAATACCTGGAGGGAGACGAGAAAGCGGCTTCTGAACAAGTACACTCTGAACACACACACACACACAATCCTACTGGGAGTCTTATCTGTTGTTATGAGTTTTCCGACTCTTCAAATAGATTTAAAAGGTAACTGACTGAGAAACTGAATGTAGACATCTCCCCTGCAGTCTGCTCTTTCAAAACAATCCTCAGCAGACAGATTAATGAGAGGCTTTATCATCCAATACACAATATAAGGCTTTACATTTCAAGGCTTTATATTACAGAATAATATCAGCCTTGATATTTGAAGCTGGTAGCCACATTCACTGTACATACGTCATACATGATTCACACCAATTAAAGAGTAGGTCACATCTTTCCTAGAAGCAGGGATTTAACTGCAGTTTGTTTCTCCCCAAACAGAGACAGTGTGTGGAGGCAGAAGGAGTAGGATTATCCATGTGGCCACAGGCATCTCACTATAGTGGGCATAGGTTTCTCTCTGTAACACTCGATCTCGCTCTATAAAACTACTGCTGCTCTCCCCTCCATCTCCATAACAACCACGGTGAGGAGAGACCAGAAGGACACTGTCACTTCAGGGAGATATACAGTAACCTTGCTGTGCCATATGTGCCCTAATAATTGTTACCTGTTTATGGGGGTAAGAGAAGTTCTTAAAGACAGGTACTTATCATTTTACAAGCACGTTACAACCATCAGGTGTAAATGGGCCGCATTCAACGATCATTCCTAAACATAGGGGCCGGGCCGTCCCCCAGGAGAGTGCATTAGGGACATACTGTATGTTATGCCACAGTGCAGATTCTACAGTGGACGACACACACACAGTGTTTCCCTTCCTTTACTGTTACTAACAGCTGACTGACATCAAGTACTGCCAGTCGTTTTCCTAAGGCGGCAGCAGTGGGCCTATTTAGCCTCGACCAGGGCTTGGTCGCTCAGTCACAGGTCTGTATGTAATGCAGAGCCTGGTGCAGAGAAGGAACAGTTATTGCCTCCAACAGGTTGTCTTTGTGAGCTAATGGGTACTGAGAAGACAGAGATGAGAGAGAAAGAGAGAGAGAGAAAAAGAGAGAGAGCGAGAGAAAGAAAAAGAGAGAGAGAGACCCATTCATCTCATACAGACAGACACTGTCAGTAGTAAAGGGAACTGACCTCTGGGGAAGACTCCAGGGTCCATGAATGTAGCCATGCTGAAGTTGGCCAGCACAAAGAGGAAGACGACGCCATTGTAGAGAGGCACAGCGGGGGAGATCGCCTTGGTCAGCCAGGGGCACCTGCAGAGGAGCGAGAGAGAGGACAGCCGTTAGGATCCTCCATTCATAGTTCATTCATTATTGATTCACCAAACATGTATGCACACTTGGATGTGTACATATGCACACACACACACACAAATATATTGGCAAATACCGACACATACTGATAGAGGCATGTAATCTGCCTATGAAATTAGGGATGGAGAGATGGGATGCAAATAGGCGACTGCTGCATGCCCCTCCCCCTCCTTACTCACCCCATCACCTCTACCACACACACCACCTCACACAGCCTCACCCAAACACAGTCAGCAGCGCAAACAAGATTTTCAGCATCTTTAATCCCACGCAAATGGGAAAACAACAAGCCTTGCAAAAAGGCGGGCATGGTGTAAAGCTGGAATTGCTTCTTCGCCTGTCGAGATTCAGAAATAATAGCAATGGCATCATCTGCCATGCATGGGACGGATCAGATCTCCTCTCAGCCTCAGATATAAAAGTCAATGAGAGATGATTACACATGAGGATAGGGCTATACTTGAGCCCAGAGCTGAGCTATATTACAATGTCTAACATTTCCTGGAATTAGAGAGGAAGTTGCAGACAGACAGACAGACTGGGCAGGGAGACAGACAGTTGGCAGAGGCAGTGTGTTGCTGTTATGGATGGTACACACAACCCTCACGCGCTACCTCACTACATCAGGTTCCAAGGTTTTCAGGAGGGAATTAACAGAACATCTGTGAATCCCCCAACTGGGATTTCTGGAAAACCTTGTCCAGGACTAAAACCGAATCGCTTAGACATTTTGTGCGTCAAGCTTGACTTTATCCACAGGCTTATTCATCATCACATACTGGGAAATATGCAGAGATACCTGCAACAATACTGCTTTCAAGAATACCAATTCAAATTTTTATCACTGCTCTCATTTTCAGTGGATTTGTGGGCTGAAATGTCAAGACATTGTATTGACCCAGGAAAGGTTTTTATGCCTCATCGCTTCTGCAGGGTCTCCCTCTAGAGGCCCACCTGAGCACACACGCGAACACACACCACAAACACATGTATGCACAGCAATGAATTCCTGGTATCTGTTCATGGCGATGATCCTCTTTCCTTCCTTGCCTCTCCCTCCCCCCTCTGCTCTGTTAAGTTATTCAGAGTGGAGGCTATATTGTAGGTAGGAGAATGAGCTGCTGTGCTAGCAGGCCTGGGGGAGCATGGCCACAGTGAGCTCCAGCCTCCAGCACCCCCCCACGTCCGCGTCAAACACTGTCACAGGGTGAGACAGTACAGCTGGATGGCCTATGCAGATGCAACCAAGAGTGAAACAATCCAGAGCTTTGTCTGTCAGTGAACTGAGTGAGGATAGAACACAAAACAGCAGCCAGGGATGCAGAGGAAAAGTTAGGTTAGTCAGCCCCACCAATATTAATGATCTCTCCTCTCACATAACACCATACAGTACTTAGCCTACTCACTTCTAACAACATGGGTTCAGTTGGGGGGTAACAGAACAGAGATCGACCAACTTCTACCACATTAGCTTGGGAGACATAGTCTGGTAGACGTTAGTTTAGCTTCAAATAAATGATCAGGGAAAAGCAATACATTTTTGCAGCTGTTCCCCCACCAATAAAATCCCAATAAAATCCCTGGTCTACGAATGATGTGTTCTGCCCACAGTGATAAGAACAAGGAGTGAGCCAAACAAAGCACAGCCATTTCAGCTGAAAGAGCATTTTAAGAGCCCAGGAGCAGACCACACATTGGGTGGAAAATATGATTCAGAGAATAAGCGACATAATTAAAATCACAGACATTTGTAATTAAGTGGCAACAACGCCAATCACAAGTCTGTTTTACAGTAAACGTAAGCACAATGCTAAAAATAGGGTAAAAAAGTACAACAGTTATACTTAGTTTATAAACAGTTTTCCCTGCTTTGGCGACTAACTGAACCTATTTTACCTTTAACAGGGAGTTCCATTGAAACCAAGGTCTCTTTTGCAAGGGAGCCCTGCATCTTACAATTACAAAACAAATTACACATAGGAAATACACCAGAAAAACAAATACAAAGATAATACAGAAATACAATACACACTCATGAAAAACAATCACATTCCTCAACAAAGAGGTCTTCAAATCAACACTCTGAACTGCCTGAAAGGCACCAATGCTGGGCTCTTAAAATGCATCCAGTTGTAGGGACTCTGAAGATTGTTCCGTACATGGGGTGCAAAACCTGTCATCCGTGATAAAACTAAGTGCACTATGGTAAACTGCATTCATGTAGATGATGTGGCAGCTGCATTCATGTAGATGATGTTGCCATAGTCTAGTACCAAAAGCAGTGTTGGGGAATATAGTTTAAAAAGCTACCAATTACTTTATACTGGAAGAAGTTAATAAGTTATCATATGTTAATTTGAAATGTCAGACAACAAATTGCAAGGACAGATCACTTTGGGGTCCTATGTTTACAGAATGTGTAATTTAGCCTATTAAACACAAAAATCATGTTTCTAGTGAGAATTCTGTAGGCCTGATGCCGAAAAAGAATGGAAATGATTGCCATATTTTATTTTATTTTTGCAAAAAAATGTAGTGTGTAGTTCCAGTAGTTAGCTACACCACTACATTGGAAAAAAGTTATTAACTACTGAAAACACGACCTAGATTTGAATTTAGTTCAACTACCACCAAGCTACTGCAAAATGTAGTTAAATTATTAGTTGAACTACATGTACTTCACTACTCCCCAACACTGACCGGAAGGAACGTGGACTGAATGATCTGCTTTCTACTCTTTAGTGAGCGGCATGACTTATTTCTATACAAGCCCATTTTTATTCTCCGTTTCTTAGTTAACTCATCAATATGCTTTTAAAAAGACAGCTTATCGTCTAACCAAACGCCCGGATATTTGTAAGCAGGGACATGATCAATGTAGGCACCATCCAAGGTACATATGCGTAAATCATTAGAGTCATTTAGAGTCAACCTGGAGATTGACTCTAATATGATTAGATTACCTCTTATATTATTAAATAATTAAAGTCAGCCTAGAGGCCCACTGCTGGTGCCAAAAGTGTTCTAATGTAATGAGTATGTTTCTAGTATGTTTCCTGCTCAGTGGGCACAGATGTAATTTCAACATCTAGTATACTTTTAGGTCATCTGTATATGAAGTGTACAAACAATGCTCAAGGGATGAACACCACACCACACATACACACACTCTAGATTCTATCTGCAGCTATTGGTTTAAATGTGGGAATTCTGACAGCAAGCCATAGCTACATCCTAAGAAAAGCCAGATTCCTCACAGACCTGCCCATTGTGAGTGTTACTGAACCTCGCAAATCCCCTCTTAGGCCTCACCTTGCTCCAGGAGGGGAACTATGGAGGTCTAACAAAGGACACAGTGACATCATCATAAACTTCACCCAGTGTCAGCTTAGGGTCAATATAGATATTCACATTATAGAATCCCCTCTACCTCAGCACAGGGACATAGATATTCACATAATATAACCTAATTTCCCCTATAAACTGGCAGACTCCAGTTGATGTTTGTCAGTATCATTCTTGCCTATTAAGATTGAGACTTTACAATGATAAAATCATGTCTACTGCAAACTGCCATGTCACCCAAAGCACAGAACAATCCCTGCTTTGACAACACAGCTGATCACAAATAAAACACAAACATCTTTAGCTTGATAGCTTTGAGTCAGTTGATTGCGCCGAATCTTATTAAATAACATTTCCAAACAATCTAACTGAAATCTTTTTAACAGCAATGGAAAATCTGTAAGCGAAAAGTTCTGAGATCTTAGAGTAGTAATTAGCATAGGTATTACAATGAAACCCCCCCCCCCCACAAATGCTCATTTATTTATTCACTTTGATGGGTGGTGGCGTGATGCCTGATGTGATTAGTTTGTTGTATGGTAGTCTAGCTCTCTAATGTTCTCTTCAGGCACTACGATATTGATCTGATTCTAGCAAGACATCTATCCCACACATCCCAAAGCCATTTGACTACACAAATCTGTGAGTCAGTCAGTCGTTCATTTGCCTGCTTAAGATTTGAGCGGAACCTGCCGGTTTTGAAGCTGCTCTTATCTGCTGGAGTGGTTCTGGGAGGGGGGAAATGTATAAGCGCAACGTCTGAAAAACCATCAAAAGAGAACAGCGTGTCAATCTAGAGTGCTTTCTGCATGCTTTCATCTGAACTAGAAATACCAACCAAACACTGAGGAGGAAATGTTAGATATCTTAACTACATGACTGGCTCTATTGTGACTAGATTGATAAGAAAACTATCATCAAATCACAAAATAATCATTTGAAAATTCAAATCTAGTTACACCCCCTACCCATTGTTAGTGAAGGCATTTGAGGGTGGCGCCACTCTTGCGTTGGGCAGAGAGATCAAATCAAATCAAATCAAATTTTATTGGCCACATGCGCCGAATACAACAGGTGCAGACATTACAGTGAAATGCTTACTTACAGCCCTTAACCAACAGTGCATTTATTTTTAACAAAAAAGTAAAAATAAAACAACAACAAAAAAAGTGTTGAGAAAAAAAGAGCAGAAGTAAAATAAAATAACAGTAGGGAGGCTATATATACAGGGGGGTACCGGTGCAGAGTCAATGTGCGGGGGCACCGGCTAGTTGAGGTAGTTGAAGTAATATGTACATGTGGGCAGAGTTAAAGTGACTATGCATAAATAATTAACAGAGTAGCAGCAGCGTAAAAGGATGGGGTGGGGGGGGGGCAGTGCAAATAGTCCGGGTAGCCATGATTAGCTGTTCAGGAGTCTTATGGCTTGGGGGTAGAAGCTGTTGAGAAGTCTTTTGGACCTAGACTTGGCACTCCGGTACCGCTTGCCGTGCGGTAGCAGAGAGAACAGTCTATGACTAGGGTGGCTGGAGTCTTTGACAATTTTGAGGGCTTTCCTCTGACACCGCCTGGTATAGAGGTCCTGGATTGCAGGAAGCTTGGCCCCAGTGATGTACTGGGACGTATGCACTACCCTCTGTAGTGCCTTGCGGTCGGAGGCCAAGCAGTTGCCATACCAGGCGGTGATGCAACCAGTCAGGATGCTCTCGATGGTGCAGCTGTAGAATCTTTTGAGGATCTGAGGACCCGTCGATGATCTAGGCTTTGTCGTGCCCTCTTCACGACTGTCTTGGTGTGTTTGGACCATGATAGTTCGTTGGTGATGTGGACACCAAGGAACTTGAAGCTCTCAACCTGTTCCACTACAGCCCCGTCGATGAGAATGGGGGCGAGCTCAGTCCTCTTTTTTTTCCTGTAGTCCACAATCATCTCCTTTGTCTTGGTCACGTTGAGGGAGAGGTTGTTGTCCTGGCACCACACGGCCAGGTCTCTGACCTCCTCCCTATAGGCTGTCTCATCGTTGTCGGTGATCAGGCCTACCACTGTTGTGTCGTCGGCAAACTTAATGATGGTGTTGGAGTCGTGCCTGGCCATGCAGTCATGGGTGAACAGGGAGTACAGGAGGGGACTGAGCACGCACCCCTGAGGGGCCCCTGTGTTGAAGATCAGTGTGGCAGATGTGTTGTTACCTACCCTTACCACTTGGGGGCGGCCTGTCAGGAAGTCCAGGATCCAGTTGCAGAGGGAGGTGTTTAGTCCCAGGATCCTTAGCTTAGTGATGAGCTTTGAGGGCACTATGGTGTTGAATGCTGAGCTGTAGTCAATGAATAGCATTCTCACGTAGGTGTTCCTCTTGTCCAGGTGGGAAAGGGCAGTGTGGAGTGCAATAGAGATTGCATCATCTGTGGATCTGTTGGGGCGGTATGCAAATTGGAGTGGGTCTAGGGTTTCTGGGATAATGCTGTTGATGTGAGCCATGACCAGCCTTTCGAAGCACTTCATGGCTACAGACGTCAGTGCTACGGGTCGGTAGTCATTTAGGCAGGTTATCTTAAGAGTCCTTGGGCACGGGGACTATGGTGGTCTGCTTGAAACATGTTGGTATTACAGACTCAGTCAGGGACATGTTGAAAATGTCAGTGAAGACACTTGCCAGTTGGTCAGCACATGCTCGGAGTACACGTCCTGGTAATCCGTCTGGCCCTGCGGCCTTGTGAATGTTGACCTGCTTAAAAGTCTTACTCACATCGGCTACGGAGAGCGTGATCACATAGTCATCCGGAACAGCTGGTGCTCTCATGCATGCTTCAGTGTTGCTTGCCTCGAAGCGAGCACAGAAGTGGTTTAGCTCGTCTGGAAGTCTTGTGTCACTGGGCAGCTCGCGGCTGTGCTTCCCTTTGTAGTCTGTAATAGTTTTCAAGCCCTGCCACATCCGACGAGTGTCAGAGCCAGTGTAGTACGATTCAATCTTAGTCCTGTATTGACTCTTTGCCTGTTTGATGGTTCGTCGGAGGGCATAGCGGGATTTCTTATAAGCGTCCGGGTTAGAGTCCCGCTCCTTGAAAGCGGCAGCTCTACCCTTTAGCTCAGTGCGGATGTTTCCTGTAATCCATGGCTTCTGGTTGGGGTATGTACGTACGGTCACTGTGGGGACGACATCATCGATGCACTTATTGATGAAGCCAGTGACTGATGTGGTGTACTCCTCAATGCTATCTGAAGAATCCCGGAACATGTTCCAGTCTGTGCTAGCAAAACAGTCCTGTAGCTTAGCATCTGTGTCATCTGACCACTTTTTTATTAACCGAGTCACTGGTGCTTCCTGCTTTAGTTTTTGCTTATAATCAGGAATCAGGAGGATAGAGTTATGGTCAGATTTGCCAAATGGAGGGCGAGGGAGAGCTTTGTATGCGTCTCTGTGTGTGGAGTAAAGGTGGTCTAGAGTTTTTTTTCCTCTGGTTGCACATTTAACATGCTGGTAGAAATTAGGTAGAACGGATTTAAGTTTCCCTGCATTAAAGTCCCCGGCCACTAGGAGCGCTGCATCTGGATGAGCGTTTTCCTGTTGAGAGAAGCGCTTGTGGGGTTATTGCAGGGCTCCACTCTCCAGTCCACTAATTCATCATTGGCAGAGTTTGTTGGTCCATTGAGGACACAGAGATGTCTGTCTGTCTGTGGGATTTTTGTGGGATTGTTCTCTCATTAATTAAAGTGTTAGTTAGGGTTGTCCCAGTGGGCTGCAGATGGAGACCATGTGTTCCTCCAGACTGCCCACTGGCCCCTTATGTCCTGGGATGGCCAGGCACAGGCCTCACCACCCTACAATGCCAACCCACAGGGATATCCCGGCTCAGGCCTAGCCACCCTCCCAACCCACAGGGTTAGTGCCTGCTCTGAAAATTCATCAATAACATTGCTATAGACCAGGGTCATGTCCAGTGGGGATAAAACTATTTGAAACGGTGAGGTACGACCTGAGCATGGGGTGGTTCAATTTCAAGGTCTGCAGCACAGCACTGATTTTCATCTTTTCATCTTTCTCCTCTAATCAGGAACAGATTCAGACCTGAGCGATCAGATGATTGGACTAAGTCTCAGGCCGATAAAAAAGAAATACCCCTGAATACCCCGGCCGCCATAACCTCCTGCAATCTCAATCCCAGCTCTTTCAAATCATCAAACCTCTCTTTTTCATCATATTTTCATCTGTTTCGTTTCCAACAACAGATATTTTCCCATCCTCAAGCAGGAAGAAAGAGAGACAGAAAGAGAGGGAAGAAATAGAGACAGAAAAAGAGGGAGAGAGTCAGAGACAGAGAAACAGAGAGAGACCGTTTGCCTTATTTAAGTTATTTTTTACTAGTAATCAAACTCTCACTAACTCTCAGTGCTTAGATAACTGAAGTTTGTAGCGGCCCCGTTCACTGTGGCCCCCTGAGAGCTCCACTCTGTGTCTCTAATGCATGCACACTTCTGAGACACACCACTCTGTGCTCACACAGTTCATTAGTATTCCACACCTACACCAGCGGGCCTGGCTGTCAATGGAGACAGCATACATGTTAAAACAGCCTTTAATATAAATGGGTGACAGCGGGTCAGACAAGAAGCAATTCTGCTGTTGGGGGAGGCCAGGAGCAGGAGACGAGGACAGGAGCGGAGTTTGTTTACTTATAAGTTAGCTAGATATTTGATGTTCGTTATTATGCTTGAAATGGCTTTCAGATGAATATAAATGACTGGAAACTAAGCCATTTGAGATCCTCTGGCCGATTAAACTTCCAGCCATGTATACTAATGACGGGAGAGAGAGAAAGAGAAAGAAAGAGAGAGAGTGAGAGAGAGTGAGAAAGAGTGAGAGAGAGAGAGAGTGAGAGAAAGAGAGAGAGAGAGAGAGTGAGAGAAAGAGAGAGAGAGAGAGAGAGAGAGAAAGAGAGCGAGAAAGAGAGTGCAAGAGAGAGAACGAGAGCCTTGGGTAAAGGCTGCTGTTGCTCTATGACTAAGAAGCTAAAATGAGAAAACCTGTGCTGCTGCCGCTGCTGCAGAGAGCCCAATGTAAAAGAAAATAAATACAATTTACATAATGTATTTGAGACTAAATAAAATGCTTTGCACTGTTGCTTTTTATGCCCTATTTTTTGAATATTCATAAGCACCTTTTCATCAACTGTAAAGGAAAAAATATGAAGGAAAAAGGCTATTTGTGATCAAGTGATTTAGTAATGTAATCTTAAACAGTTTACCACACTAATTCTTATCACATGATAACACTAGGGATGGGTATCCCTAGATAACATGCACATGGGATGTCATTGTTGGAACTTTAGCTTGATGCAGTTTATAGGGAACATGTTTGTCTTTTCCATAGTGATCGAGCATCTCAACTGACAGGACATGCTAGCATGTGTGTGTGTGTGTGTGTGTGTGTGTGTGTGTGTGTGTGTGTGTGTGTGTGCCCGCTGGGCATGATGAGCATCATGCTGAGACTCAGAGGTGGGTGCTAGGGCCACACACACCCCAGCACTGTGGTCCCAAACGCCTGTTTCCTTGATGAAATGAAATTGCTGATTGCTGATTGGCTGATTGACTGAAAGCCGTGGTATATCAGACCGTATACCATGGGTATAACAAAACATTTATTTTAACTGCTCTAGTTACATTGGTAACCAGTCAGAAGTAGTGCACTATACATTAGAGGCTGCTGCTGCCTATTGAATTCACTGTCCACTTTAAGAAATGGAACACTAGTCACTTTAATAATGTTTACATATCTTGCACTACTCATCTCATATGTATATACTGTATTCTATTCTATAATATTCTACTGTATCTTAGTCCATACCGCTCTGTCATTGCTTGTCCATATATGTATATATTGTTAAATTCCATTCCTTACTAGATTTGTGTGTATTGGGTATATGTTGTGAAATTGCTAGATATTACTTGTTAGATATTACTGCACTGTCGGAGCTAGAAGCACAAGCATTTCGCTACACCCGCAATAACATCTGCTACACACGTGTATGTGACAAATAAAATGTGATTTGATTTGATGTAGGGAATAGGGTGCCATTTGGGACGCGGACAATGAAAACCAGAGTAGCACATAGGTCAATTGGAATAAAGCAGATGGCTTAAGCAGAAGTCATTGTGGCTTAGCCCTGGCTGGTAAATATGTGGGAGTATTTAGATCACAGTAGTAAGGTCAAATAGTCTCACTGCCCTCCCTGCCACAAGTGTGCTGTAACCCCATCTGGGCAGAATGCACCAAGGGGGATTCTGCAAATATAGAGACCACCAGCCACACAATTTGGTCCTCTCTCTCTCAATTTTCCTGGTTGACAAATAGGGAGTGTGAGCAATGCTGTTGTACATATCTGCGTGGCAGAAGTTGGCTTACCTAGCATCACATTCCTCACCATTCTTATTCTAAACCCAGACTGCAGGCAGTTGTTGGGCCTGCTGCATGTGTGGGCCACTGTCAGACCCCTGAGAGTTATATCTGACTAAACCAATGTGCAGATTCCATCAATCTTGTTTCTTCACGTTACTCCGAGGCCATAATTTAAATTAAAAAAGTGGAAGAAATTCAAATGAATGGCAGAATTCAAGTTTAATCTGTCCTAAGGCTGCCATGTGTACTGGGTCTTTTCCACGTCAATGTTCTCTTATCTAGTGGGCCGGAGTTCAACAAAGTTCAAAAATAGTTTCACTTTCATTAAAATAGAAATTCCTGCTGCTTCCCTGATCCTACTACTGGGTTGGAGGACTCAGCACTGCAGAGCACAGCACACTGAGAGGGAACGGGGCTGAAACCTGAGGAGAAGACCCAGAAATACTACAGACAACAACTCAGTCTATTGGGCCCTACGTAGAGTGAGAGGGGGGAGGGAGGGAGGGAGGGAGGGGAGGGAGGGAGGAGGGGGGAGACAGAGAGATGGGGGGAGAAAGAGAGAAAGATAGAGAGAGAAAGCAATGTGCGAACCGTGACCCGTCCATCCGTCTCTTTCCAGGTTTCAGCCCAGTTCCCTCTCAGTGTGCTGTGCTCTGCAATGCTGAGTCCTCCAACCCAGTAAGTAGCATGAGCAGGGAAGCAGCAATACATTCTATTTTAGTGAAAGTGAAATGATTGACTGCTACTCTGTGATGCTGTGACCCTTGGCCCCGCCACTCTTATCCCTCCAACCCCCCGCCTCCTCTGACACAATCATAACTGTTATGGCTTTTATCTCCCAGTGACATCTGCAAGCCATTCCGTGCAAGCGAGCGAGGTCAGACCAATTCTCCAGTCACATCCTGCAGGAAGCTGAGATTGAGCAGAACAGGACTGCCCCTACAGTATACGCTCTCCAATCTCTCATACTGGCCGCTAGCAGTCTGTAGCACACTTAAATACTGTGTTTATGTAGTACAACTGTAGAACAGAGGAGATCAGAATGAACTGTCTCTGTATGATATGGACAGCATGATGGAGATGTTAATCAGTGTCTTTCATGCACAAACCAACCACAATCATTATCAAATCAAATCAAAGTTTATTGGTCAGGTACACAGATTTGCAGATGCTATCACACCTGCAGCGAAATGCTTGTGTTTCTAGCTCCAACAGTGCAGCAATACCTAGTGTCATGACTGTCCTGTGTGAGGATCCAAGGGCTCAGATCAGCTTGACAATGGTTGACAATAACCAGGCCTCTCCCACCCACAGAAGAGGGGATGAGGGATTGGTGTGGTGGTTCTGACACCTCACACCCGGTCGTAAATTTAAGGAGAGGATTCTCTCTCTTTACCCTCCAGTATTGGCTAAAGGAATGTCCTTTGTCTCCAGAGACTTTTGCCGCCCAAAACTCTAATGTCCAAAAAGTGAATACTGGAACAATATTTCTAAGATAAGAATGTGGGGAATGGTCAGTGGGGATCTAAAGAATAATCATGTCATGTTGTTTGTTATTTAGTGATGTCATAAAAAATGGTATCAAGAAAATACTGTAACTTGGAAAGTATATCCCCTTTATCTGTCAAGTTTTCATCCAATATATAATATGAAAAATGATGAAAGTATTTTTGTTAAGATAGGAATGTGATATTAGTTTTCTAATGAGATAATTGTTTTTCATATAAGCTTTGCACAAGTAAGTAGCCACACCCAGAGGGAGCTCAGAGAGCGTGTCAGCATGATGGAACACCCTTTTAACTAGAGTGTATAAAAGGATAGGTTAAGAATGAACATATCAGACCAGAAAGCGTGGAGAGGTGGCTACACATTTGAAATGGTTAGAACTTTGAACCTCAACACGGGGTGAAGAAGATAAACTCACCAGACTAGACCTGAACATTGCCAGTCTGCAGCTGTCCATGTAAAGTTGTTTGGAACTTTGATTATCCACACAAGGTGAAGAAAGGAGAAAATCCCCTCTCAGACAATCACTGGTACAGCTGAGTATCTGTTCTGAGGAAATATTCCAATACAGACAAGACAACTAAGAAGAAGGACAATGTGACCTCTGGTGGACAATCAGAGCCTCACACCGACACAGGACCACCAGCCAAACCCTTTTCAAGAAGGCTTGGTCCAACAGAGATAAACGGCGAACGAAGGCATTCATCATGTAAATACATTCATGATTTCTTACTCCAAAAGGGCGGTGGTTCGTGTGCAAAGTAAATGATTACTGTGAGCGTAGTTTCCAAATGTACGATAAGTGTTGTGTCTCTCTTTCTCAATCTCTCTCTCTCTACCACTCCCTCTTTTAGTAAACAAGCAGTCATGTTGTTGTTAGTCCGCTAGGGACCTTTTTCTCATGTATTATGTGTGTATGTTATTCTGTGTTATCATTTTGTTAGCTAGTGAATAAATAATTGAACCAATTTGTGTAGTGCTGAATCATAAGTAAAGCTGGGGTTTTTGCAGATCCAAGAAGGTTGCGACCGTTCAGAATGATGATATGATAAGAGGTCATGATTAATACGTTGACTGTTTTATACATATTGATAGGTAATGATTTTTTGAGTTTAATTCGGAGATGGTAACTCTATAAACAACTTATTCCGTGATGCCCCAAATCCTAATGAGTTAATTGTTACATGATTCATGTAATTGAGTAACAATTAAACATAGTTAGTTGATTTGATAAATTACAGTCATCAGATTAATGAAAATCACGTCACGACACTAGCAATACCAAACAATACACACAATCTAAAAAGTAAAAAGAAAGAAATTAAGAAATGTCAGAACGAGCAATATCAGAGTCTGGAATATATATACACTACATGACCAAAAGTATGTGGACACCTGTCGAACATCTCATTCCAAAATCATGAGCATTAATATGGAGTTGGTCCCCCCTTTGCTGCTATAACAGCCTCCACTCTTCTGGGAAGGCTTTCCACCTGATGTTGGAACATTGCTGCAGGTAATTGCTTCCATCAGCCACAAGAGCATTAGTGAGGTCAGGCACTGATGTTGATTGATTAGCCCTGGCTCACAGTCGGCGTTCCAATTCATCCCAAAGGTGTTCGATGGGGTTGAGGTCAAGGCTCTGTGCAGGCCAGTCAAGT